TTGCAGCCACATAACTCCCACCTTTGCCTTCCTCATCACATGCGTTTTCCCTGTGTGCATCCGTCTTCGCATAGCTGTCTTATAAGGACACTCTGCTCCAATATGACCTCAACTTATGTGCACTAATTGTATCTGCAATTACTCGATTTCCAAATAAGGTCACATTCTGAGGTCCTAGGGAGTTAAGAACTTCAACATATTTTATTTGGGGACACAATTCAAACCATAACAATCTTGTTTGGGCTCTTTTGGGAGAAGGTGAGAGAAATGTAAAATCTGAAGATGCTGAAGTCTTCACCTACAGTGCACTCACCTGCCTAAGTCACAGTGCTAAGAGGCCAAGTTACAGCCTCAGCATTCACTGTAAGCACACAGCATGTGAGTTACCAAAAGCTTCAATCCTAACCTCTTCAGAGAAGTTTAGACAGCACTCCTGCCCCATGTGAATTCCATACCTTTGCTGTGCACACTTCACTGAGCTGCTTGCTTCATCTTCAACCACAGTCCTGACACCCTGCCCTTGACATGATGAGCTGCACTCTTGAGTTGAAAAAAAAAAAAATGGCCCAGCGCAGTGGCTCAAGCCTGTAATCCCAGCACTTTGGGAGGCCGAGGCGGGTGGATCACGAGAGGTCAAGAGATCAAGACCATCCTGGTCAACATGGTGAAACCCCGTCTCTACTAAAAATTCAAAAAATTAGCTGGGCATGATGGCACGTCCCTGTAATCCCAGCTACTCTGGAGGCTGAGGCAGGAGAATTGCCTGAACCCAGGAGGTGGAGGTTGTGGTGAGCCGAGATCGCGCCATTGCACTCCAGCCTGGGTAACAAGAGTGAAACTCCGTCTCAAAAAAAAAAAAAAAGTACCAATAAGGGTCACATGTACCTATAAGGGTCAAATGACACCCCCAATCAGCTTACAAACTCCAACCAGAGAGCCTTTGTTTTGCTTCTTATGCTATTGTGTACCCGTTCCTGCTGCCCACATGGCTCCCTCCCTTGCCACCCTTAGAGAGGGACAAGCACCAGCAGGTAGAATTGCTCTTGAAGTAATCCCAACGCTTCTCAAGTTGCATCAAAAGAAGTTCCTTTTGAATTCAATACCTGTTAGCCACTAAACCTATTAAGAATCTATTCAGAGGGCCGGATTTTACCTCTTGGTTTAGTCACACCTCCACCAAGAGCCTTTTCTGTCATTCCTGTGGGCAGGACTTGAACTTTTGTTTGTTATTCTCTTGGCATTAATACGCAGCCCGTTCTTGCTTTACTCTGGTATTTTATTAATCCAGTCACATCTAACTGGCTTGTTTTATTCTTTTCCAAACACGCCTTAGAGCATTTGGGTTTTTTTTGTTTTGTTTTGTTTTGTCTTTTTCAGAGGCCAAGGAACTTTACCCTAATTTCTAAAGAAACTGAAGAGCCGGGTGTGGTGGCTCATACCTATAATCCCAGCACTTTGGGAGGCCGAGGTGGGCAGGAGTTTGAGACCAGCCTGGCCAATGTGGTGAAACCTCGTCTCTACTAAAAATAAAAAATTAGCCAGGCATGGTAGCGCCCACCTGCCTCAGGGGGCTGAGGCAGAAGAATTGCTTGAACCTGGGAGGTGGAGGTTGCAGTGAGCTGAGATTGTGCCACTGCACTCCATCCTGGGCAACAAAGTGAGACTCCATTTCAAAAAAAAAAAAAGAGGCAGTGAAAAGTTATTCTTATTTTCAAGTGAGAAAAGAACATCATAGAAATGCCAAGCAATAATTCATATATATATGAATTATATATGTTATATAAACATACATATATATATATTTAGAGTCGGTTATCTTTTTTTTTTTTGTGTGTGTGTGTGTGTGTGTGTGTGTGTGGTGACTATATAGGTCCTGGTGATCCTTCTGCTAATATTCATTCCCCATTGTGCTGTTAAAAGCCATAGCCCTTCTTTTTTTTTTTTTTGAGATGGAGTCTTGCTCTGTCACCCAGGCCGGAGTGCAGTGATGCAACCTCCGCCTCCCATGTTCAAGCCATTCTCCTGCCTTAGCTTCCCCAGTAGCTGGGATTAGAGGCACCTGCCACCATGCCCGGCTAATTTTTATGTTTTTAGTAGAGATGGGGTTTTGCCGTGTTGGCCAGGCTGGTCTCCAACTAGTGACCTCAGGTGATCCAGCTGCCTCAGCCTCCCAAAGTGTTGGGAGTACAGGCTTTTTTTTCTTCTTCTTCTTCTGCTTGAGACAGGGTCTCACTCTGCTGCCCAGACTTGAATACAGTGGCTTGATCACAGCTCACTGAAGCTTTGACCTCCCAGGCTCAGGAAATCCTTCCACTTTAGCCTCCCAAGTATCTGGGACTACAGGCACACACACCACCGCACCCAGCTAATTTTTTACTTTTTTATTTTTTATAGAGGTAGATTCTCCCACTGCACAGGCTTAAACTCCTGGTCTCAAATAATCTTCCTACCTCATCCTCCCAAACTGTTGGAATTACATGCGCGAGCCACCACACCTGGCCAAATTTTTTTTTTTTTTTTTTTTTTTTTGAGACGGAGTTTTGCTCTTGTTACCCAGGCTGGAGTGCAATGGCATGATCTCGGCTCACCGCAACCTCCGCCTCCTGGGTTCAGGCAATTCTCCTGCCTCAGCCTCCTGAGTAGCTGGGATTACAGGCACGCGCCACCATGCCCAGCTAATTTTTTGTATTTTTAGTAGAGACGGGGTTTCACCATGTTGACCAGGATGGTCTCGATCTCTCGACCTTGTGATCCACCCGCCTCAGCCTCCCAAAGTGCTGGGATTACAGGCTTGAGCCACCGCACCCGGCTCAAATTTTGTTTTTTAATCAGCTACACTTGAGTTATTTTTCTATTGACTGGAGGCCCTAGAGAGCAATGGCAGAAAAAGCCGGTGGGATGCCATTCTGGGGAAGGCAGGAAGGGGAGGCCAGTCTGGCATTTCCTGGCCCTTGCAGCAGCAGGTGTTTTCTGGAAAGTGGGTAAGAGAAAGATGACGCTTAGGTCTGGGTTAAAATTGTCACTTTCTCTCTAACTGGGAGGGTGATGTTCACTGATGCTTCTTCAGCTGGGCTCAAAGAACAGGCAGCAGGATGCATGATGAGGAATGATCCCACTTCTTTTCAGAAGTCACTGCATAACATATTTGCTAAAAGGAATATGCTTACTCATAAATATCAGTGGAGTTGATTTCACACTACACCTTCAATTCTAGAACATCCACACTGATGAGAGACTAGCTTAAATTGTAGTCATTCTGGAGGCAGGAAAGTGAGGTGGGGCGGGGGAGGTGGGACTCCATGTACCCTGGGTTTAAGATGTTGGACTTTAGAGGATTACATGCTTACTGCTCACTTCACAAGCACATTTTTTTTTTTTTTTTAATGAGACGACGTCTCCCTCTGTTGCCAGGCTGGAGTACAGTGATGTGGTCTCTGCTCACTGCAACCTCCATCTCCCGGCTTCAAGTGATTCTCCTGCCTTAGCCTCTGGACTAGCTGGGACTACAGGTTCGCACCACCACACCCCACACTCTACACCCAGCTAATTTTTGTATTTTTAGTAGACACAGGGTTTCACCATGTTGGCCAGGATGGCAGGTGATCCACCCAACTTGGCCTCCCAAAGTGCTGGGATTATAGGCGTGAGCCACCGTGTCTGGCCCACAAGCACATTTAAGTGTTTACTTAACCCCTCCCACATTTTCTATTATTGATCCTTCCCCTTCAATCCTTACCTACCAGGACCATATACTTAAGGCACTCTCCTAGGGGCAAAATTTAAATATGTGCTAAGAAGTCTCAGTAATCAAATAATGCAAACTTTATTTAAATTGAAAAATCTTTAAAAGTCAGATTTTATAAGATTTCTGAAAAGAAAATGGGATAGTTTTCATCATGCATCTTGCTAACTTCTCTTTGTTTTTTGAGACACAGTCTTGCTGTGTTGCCCAGGCTGGAGTGCAGTGATGTGATCTCAGCTCACTGCTGCCTCCACCTCCTGGATTCAAGCGATTATCCTGCCTCAGACTCCTCAGGTGGGCGAATCACCTGAGGTCAGGAGATGGAGACCAGCCTGACAAACAAGAAGAAACCCCATCTCTACTAAAAATACAGAATTAGCCAGTAGTGGTGGCGCATGCCTGTAATCCCAGCTACTCGGGAGGCTGAGACAGAAGAACCGCTTAAATCCGGGAGGCGGGGGTTGCGGTGAGGCAAGATCGCGCCATTGCACTCCAGCCTGGGCAACAAGAGCGAAACTCCGTCCCCCCCCCCAAAAAAAAAAAAAAAAAAAAATTGCACTAAAATGTTTATGTTGATTATTGAGGTTTTTTGTTTTGTGAACCTATATCATTTGCAACGGAGGCCAGTACCCTGTCCAGGTCCAGGAAAAATACCTACGAGTCTGCAAAAATCTACCCACCTTCTTCGACCACGACTCACTGTGCCCCAGGTACAGATTCCCCCAACCATGAAGTCTCCATAAAGTGTCCCAGTTTTAATGTCCTCTCCTGTCTTTCCTTGAACGTGTATTAAGATACATTGCATTCTGATTGGTCTTCTACACTTCTGGCAGCGAGAATGCCTCCACTGCGTCTGCCTTCAAATTTCTGCTCTCGTTAAGAAACCATCTCTTCCCTTCTCAAAGTTACGCACATTTCACTATCCGCCAACCACCTCCTCCACACGCCGTCCACAGGTGAACTGACTCGTACTGAAGTCCTCTCAGTACGCCCTCCGCACCTCAGCCCTGTGCTTGGCAGCGAGACCGGTGACAGGGCCGCTCCAGCACGGGTCTCCCGGGCCGCGGACCCGCCCCACGCCGGGTCCAGCACGCTGTCCTCCCGCCCCATCCTTGTGCCGGCCATCGTGTGGTCGCGTCTGCGCGCTCCGCTGGTCTGCCAGCGTGAGAAAGAGCTCGTGCCGCTTCCAAGTTCAGACCAGAGGGGACGGTGAAGCGCGAAAAAGCTCCCCGCGCGCAGTACGCAGGCGCAGCTGTGCTCCAAGGCTTCCGGGGCCTCGTCCCGGGAGGCGCGCCAGGCGCTCCTCAGCTAGCGGGCAGTTGGGGGCGCTGCGGGGAGGGCACCCGAGCGGGTGGGGGGCGCTCGGAAGGGTGGCGTGCAAGGTCAGGGTCGCAGTCCCTGGGGTGGCGTGGAAGGGCGCGGCACCGCGCGGACGAGGATGGGACCGGCGCGGCCCGAGCCTGCCGGCACGATAAGGCGGGTGACAGCCAGCGGGGAGGGGCGGGCGCCACCGCGTCCACGCCCTTTACTCGGGGCCGGGCCTGGAGGGTCCTCCGGCTTTGCGCGCTCCTGGCCGGCGGACTGAGGCGTACGGGTTGGACGCGGCGCCATGCGCGGCCCCCCTGCCTGGCCGCTGCGGCTGCTCCCGCCACGGGGCCCGGCCGCTCCAGTGCGGCTCCTGCCGGTAGCCTGCGTGTGGGCCCCGGCCGGCCGCGCCCCCGGGTCCCTGTCGCCTCTCACTGGCCTGAGGCCGGCGCGGCTGTGGGGCGCAGGGCAAGCGCTGCTCGGGGGCTTTGGAGCCACGCGCCGCTGGAGGAGCTGCTGCCGGGGAGGGAGTCTGGGCGGCTCAGGGGGCGGCGCGGGCCTCGCGCGGCTCCTGAGGCTTTGGGCTCCGGCCCCGGGCAGCGGCAGGTGCGGGGCGTTCCCCAGGCCGGCAGCTCCTCGGCTTCCGCGCGCAGGGTTCCCGGGCAGTCCCGCAGCCACTGCCTGGGCGGGGAGCGAGGCCTGGCGGCGCGGGCCGCCGGCGCCTCCCGGGGACGACAGGCGGCTGCGCCCCGCAGCGGCCGGACTCTCAGAGGCCCGGAAGCTCCTGGGGCTGGCGTACCCTGAGCGCTGGAGGCTGGCAGGTAGGGCCCTCCCCGGCCACTTCCCTCCCTTTCCTTCTCCACCCGCGGGATCCCGGAGCACCGAGGGGGACACAGCCGGGCCGCAGAGCGCCTGTCACCACCGCCTCTCCTGGGCCACTCTGAACCCTGGAGGAGGGAGAGGATAGCTCACCTCAGAGTAGCCCTGTCAAGGTTTCACCTTAGCTGGGGACTTCATTCGCAGATTTGTGGTACACTTGTTTTCTTGTTGACACACATTATACATGTCACTATTGGAATCTTTGAGTCTGCTCCGCCACCAACTTAGTGGGAGCATCTGTTTCGGCTCAGGCAGTAAAATAAGCTGGACGTTTGTCCTTCGAAAAAAATATTCTAGCCAAAAATGTGCCTATTTTGTTATTAGGCATTTATACTATTTATTTTATTTATTTGTTTTTACCAAAAAAAAAAACCCCATTATTTGCTTTAAGCGAGTCAAGCAGTCACCAGTGTTTTTACAACGGAAAACAAAACTTTCAGACGTATCTCACGTGCTGTAAGCAGGAAGTTACAGCACTGTGTTCAACAGTCCACACCAGCCAGTGATCTGTTCAGTAATTGAGTATTTTTTAAGAAACCAAAATGAATGTTTTTAGAAACAAAATTTAAATAGTTTTCTATAGCTCCTCGTTTTTTAGTTATACTTGGAGGAATGTTTAGACGCAAGGACCTTGTAAGGTCTAAAATGTTTTAGATTTCTCTAAAATAAATCTTCATCCCTTCCATAAACATTTGTTGAGCCCTCATTCTGGACGGCCCTGGGGTTCCATTGCTATGCACAAGGAAACATGGTCCCTGCTTCTGCTGGGGCTTCCAGCTTAGTGGGGAGAAGCATCTGTGAAATACTCGTATGTAGAGAGGTAAACCTGTAGGCTGTAGTGATTTGGGATTTAGAGTACATTTGCACAGTAGAGGAGAGCAGTTAGAGTGACAGCTTTTTTTGGGGTGGGGGGAGAGATGGAATCTTGCACTGTTGCCTGGGCTGGAGTGCAATGGCCGATCTTGGCTCACTGCAAGCCTCTGTCTCCTGCGTTCATGCAATTCTGCCTCAGCCTCCCAGGTTGCTGGGATTACAGGCTCACACTACCATACCAGGCTAATTTTTGTATTTTTAGTAGAGACGGGGGTTTCAGTATGTTGACCAGACTGTCCTGGAACTCCTAACCTCGTGATCCACCCGCATCGGCCTCCCAAAGTGCTGGGATTACAGGCATGCGCCACTGCGCCCAGCCAAGGTGGCAACTTTTCATCTGCCACTTACTGTGAAAGCTTAGGAGAGCTCTTGGTATCACTTGAGTATAAAGAGAACTATTTTATTGTTCAGTCGGTTGAGTGTAGATTTTCCTGTAAAAGATCTTTTCCTGTTTCTTCCTTTTAAAAACATTTGAGACTAGGAGCTCTCATTGGACTTTGAGCTGCTTGAGACGGGGCAGTTCTCTGATTCATCTTTCTGTGTCCAGTTCTTAGCATGTGCGCAGCACAGAGTAGGCACTCAGAGTGCCTTAAGAGAAGAAATAAATGACCATACCACCAGGCACAGAGGGAGGCCTTAAGAAACCCTAAGCATCATAGGGTGCACCCACCACTTCTGTATGTGACTCAAAGTAAGTGTAAGGAAATCCAGTTCTGTTTTGTTTCTGAAATATTAGATGTCAGGAAGGGTGTTTAGGTGTCAGGCTTTGGTGGTGCCTGCATGTGCCCAGTCCTGCCTATCCATGACCATTGTTCCTGTGACCCCTCACCCTATCCCCAGATATCCTGCCATGCTAGTATGGTGACAGCCTTAAACAAGTCAAGACTGCCTCTTTTTTTCTTTCTTCCATTTGTTTTTCTTAGATGGGGGTTTCACTGTGTTGCAGAGACTTGTGTTGAACTCCTAAGCCCAAGCAGTCTTGCCTCGACCTCCCGAGTAGTTTGGACTACAGACATATGCCACCACACCCAGCTTGCACCTCTTTTTAAGAACAGGAGATACTTTGTTCCACCACACTGAAAAATTATGAATATATAATTTGAAGAAACAAGCCTAAAGTTGGCACAGTAATTTTTTTTTTTTTTTTTTTTTTTTTTTTGCTTCTCAAATAGATAAGTGCATATTGTATGTTATGAGGAAATCTGATGAAAAGCCCTTGTTTAGACATATGATTTCCTGAGAAGTCATTCTATATTAAAGCCAGTTTGGATGGTTGTATTTACAGAATTAAGAGGAAATAGGGGTCATTGTTAATTTGTAATTTTAAAAAAATGTGTAATTTATCATTCTAAGAGCAGCCTCAGATGTTGGCATATCTCTTTGAAATGCTGGAGATAAAGAGCAATTGTGTGTGGGGTGTGTGTGTGTGTGTGTGTGTTTGTGAGACAGAGTTTCACTCTTGTTACCCAGGCTGGAGTGCAATGGCGCGATCTCGGCTCACCGCAACCTCCGCCTCCTGGGTTCAGGCAATTCTCCTGCCTCAGCCTCCTGAGTAGCTGGGATTACAGGCACGTGCCACCACGCCCAGCTAATTTTTGTTATTTTTAGTAGAGACGGGGTTTCACCATGTTGACCAGGATGGTCTCGATCTCTTGACCTCGTGATCCACCCGCCTCAGCCTCCCAAAGTGCTGGGATTACAGGCGTGAGCCACTGTGCCCGGCCGTGTGTGTATTTTTTAATTAAAACATCAAAAACACTAAGCTGAAAAGGAATTCTGGTGTTAATTCATTAATTTTTAGAAAAACAAGTACAAAAATCCTTTTTCAAAAACACAGCTTTATATTTTAATAATAATACCTCCATCTGTCTCAACATTTTGTAAACTGTGTGAACAGAAAACTTTCATAAATAGTTTGTATCAGAAACTTTAAAAACACAGACTACCATGAAATGTGTACACACCTGTGCCAATAGCAGTTTTAGCGTAAGTGTATTTCATTCCTCTCCTAAAGGAAGGCCTAAGCCGCCCTTTGTCTCTTGGGAGGAATTTGCAGCTATCTTCATACAGAAAGGTCCCTTTTCACTGATAACTCTCTATCTTATCACTTTGGCCAGAAGGAATCTTAAAAGATGCAGGTGCTTGAGGAGAAGGGACGTGGACTGATGGGATAAGTGGCACTTCATCAGAACCCTCTGGCTGTGCCTGGCAGATAGAGGAGGCTCTGACTTCAATGAGTTAGGGGCAGGGTTTCAGGAGCAAGTATGGGCCCGTAGGGTACTGTGAGATTAGAGCAAAGCTGCCTCCTGGAGGTTCTTTATGTGGGAGGTTTCAGGGGTGGGGCAGCATGCCTTCCCCACATCTCCTGGGCAGGCTCCTCATTAGACGGTGGACTGTACACATCTGCCCCCTCTGGTGCGGTGTGTGCAGTTGGTGCATGTGTGGAGGACTCGGAAGGGCTCCTCTCACTTCGATTACTGACAAGGGGTTGGTGTGTGCTTTGTGATCAGGACTACTCTGTGAACCTGAAACCTGCTGGCAGCTTTAGCTGAGTTTATAGTTATATTTATGAGGATGGACCATGAGTGGCCACAGTGAATATAGTGAGAACAGCAGTGGGTACAGTAGGCAAGGAGGCCAGAGTAGCTGCTTCCTGAATCCCAGTCAAGAGAGAGATCCCACAGGGACAGTACCCTTGGGGGCCAGGGAGGATGAACCTTTGAAATTGGAACTGCCCCCAAAGCCAGGAATGTGCACGTGCTATGGAAATACCTTGTTTCGGAGAAAATGTGAGCACTCTGTAGCTGTGCTGTCACATCAGGTTCCAAAAGGACAGTAGAGAAAAAAATGTAAAATATATTACTAGTTTCTTGTGTTGATCATATGTGTATAGTATTTTAGATACATTGGGTCAAGTAAAATGTTATTAAAATTAATTTTACCTATTCCTTTTTTAATGTGGCAACTAGAGAAGTTTAAATTACCTAGGTGGCTCCCATCATATGTCTGTTAGAGTCCATGGTGAGCCCCACTGTGGTTCATGAGGTAGGTACCCCAACTCTGGTTTTTGTTTTTTTGTTTTTAATTTTGTCTTTGGGGTACCCCTAGCTCTAGAGCATGCTGATAGCATGGACAGAGTCTGATCTCGCACCAGACACATGGGGGCTTGGATATTTGTTCTCCAGATTTCCAGAACCTAGAGTCTTTGGCTTCTTCCTCTACTCGCTTCTCATCTGTCAGGCCCTCATGTCCTCAATTCTCTGCGACTCCTGTGTTCTCCATCACACCACATGCATCTGTGGAAATGTGTCCCAGACTCCAGCAAACCCAACATGTCTAAAAACCAAAGTTACCTTTCTCAGCAGAGCATCTTTCCTCTTGTGTCTCTTAGCTCAATGAGAGAGACTGCAGTGAACCTTTTGACCCTGGCAAGAGACATGGGCCATTCCTGTAATGATAACAATAGTAATAAAGATGATAGTTAATATTTCTTGTGTACTCAGCACTGGGCATTGTACCAGATGCTTTGCACATGGTTTACTGATAATTCCATGAGGGAGGGATTGTTTTTATTGCCATTTTACAGATGAAGAAACTGGGCACAGAGAGATGGAGTGACTCATGCAAGGTCAAACAGCTAGATTCAAGGCTTAAAGGGAGGATTTAAGATGGTGAATGCCTAACTTAGGAGGGCCAGTTCTGAGGTTGAGTTAGTCAACTAACCCTCATCTTATACTAATTTTTCAGAGAGGAAAAATGCTCATATCCAACCAGTCATCACGTCCTAGTTCTTAAAAACATCTCCAATCCTTCTCACTGTCCTTTATCCCTCTGCTACCAACCTACTTCACCCTAAGTTTGCTTTTCACCCAGGGCACTAGAACAGTGCTCTGTTGGCCTCTCCTTTCACTCTGTAGCCAGAGTGGATCATTTAAAAATGCAAAAATGACTATATCATTCCCAGTGTAAAGCCCTTTTAGGCCTGCCTTGCCACAAAATTCTTCTGTTTTATCATCTAGAGCCTTCATTTCATTTCTCAGTTCTCCTTCCTGCGGATCCATGAGGTCTCTGCCCCTGCTCCATCCTGCCAGGCTTTCTGCTCCCTTCCCTGACTCCCAAGTGAGGCCGGTCTGCTTCCTCTCTTTGGGATGTGGGAAGATGCGGAAGACAGACCTTGCCGCAGAATGTGGTTCTGCGTTGTGTGAACTGGTAGACCTTGCGTAGGCTTATTTTCTCTGTGCTTGAGATTCCTCTCTGAAAAATGAGGATAAAAAGAGGGATGAAAGGAAGGATTTAGGATGATGAATATCAAATCCTTCAGCTAGTGGTGAGGACTCTGGAAGTGTTGCCTTTTGAGTGCTTGAATGACAGTGGGGGTAGCTGTACCTGCCTTTACAACCAGATGGTTGCTATGTTCAGCAGTGGGCAGGTGGTAGGCACACCTTCCTCCACCCACCCCCAACCTCTGTCCTATCCAGCCCTTTTCTCCCGCAATCTGCATTTCAAATTTTCCTTCCCCTTTCTTTTGAAGGATATTTCTTTCCACCTTTGATGCCACAATTCAGTAGAATGAGATAACAGAAAGATACTTGAAGGTATCTGTCAAGAAATAGATAATGGTAGAAGTTGCTGGGGCTGCCTCAGGCAAGGGTGGGGGCAAGCAAGAGACTTAACTGTGGAGAAAGGTATGGGAGAATTCAGAATTGCAGTGTGCTCAGTTGTGTCCAGGGCTTGTGGTGGAATCTGAAATGATGTTTATGCGGCAAGTCTAAAGTATTCATTAATATCAGAAGACAATGGTATGTAGTCACATCTTAGTTAACAAGAAGCCAGTTAACTAAAAGCTGAAAAAGATCTGTAATTTTACTTTTCTTACATTCAAATTGGGCAAAGAAGCAAATGGCAATAAAACAAGCTGATAATTTTTAAATTATTACTAAAAAGTAAAACTGTGAGGGGGATATTCTGAAATTAATTTGGATTCAACAAAATTACTTCCTCTTTGTAATCATCATTACTATGTGAGAACAAGACTCAGAATCATAATTAGGGGGCATTTCATTCATGTCACGCAGATTCTTATTGTAGAATCATAACTGATTTAGAAAACTGACGCGGAGGGAAGAGGTGGACCTTTATATAGCAGGTCACATACATTATGCTTTAGGAATTATTCACCGAGGCGAAAGAATAGAGATTAGCTACTGGTGAAGGACAAAAAGAATTTTCTGCTGATTCCCAAATTCGCTAGGATGACTCCTTCTGGAACTGCCAGTTCATCGAGGCGGAGTTATTCGGAACCTCAAGTTAGACACTCTCCCTATCCTTTGGGCCCTCAGGCCCCCTTGGGCACTGTTGTAAGAAACATGGTGCTTTGAAACAAGACCCCAGGCTTTACGTCAAAATAAAGTGGCTCCTGCCCAACTTCCTGTTATTCAGTTAGATTGTGATTATGGGTTTTTAAGCCAGGCATATGGACTTTGTGAGCTGCCAGAACTCACATTTCTCTTTAGGCTGTTGAAGAACTTTGATCTGATAGACATTGGTTCCGTTGCAAAGGTTCTATCTATTGGTTTATTCAACAAATAGTGATTGAGATTTTCCTATGTGCCTGTTACTGTAGGCAATCGGTGACACACCAGACCAGTCTTTTATGTCCTAATAGAAAAACTAAACAACTGAAACATTTAGAATGCTGAAAGGTGAAGCATTTAGAACACAAATGGAGAGGGAGTGAGGCGGGCAGTGTAGGGTGTCTGTGTTTCAAGTCAGGCTGTCAGAGCAGGCCTTTTTGGGGAGGGGACTTTAGAATAAAGACCTTAAGGAGGAGTAAGAGCAATTGTTTGAAATGTTCCCCACTTAAAAGACTCTTGTTTTTCCTAGAACTCTGTTAACTAAATGTCAGTTGGTACTGAATTTGCTCTGCACTCTTTATTAAGGTTATATAAAAGTAACACTTTTGGCTGGGTGCGGTGGGTCATGCCCACAGTCCTAGCACTTTGCAAGGCTGAGATGATGGGAGGATTGCTTGAGGCCAACAGTTTGATACCAGCCTGGGCAACATAGTGAGACACTGGTCTCTATCTTTAAAAAAAAATGCATTTCTCTTACTATGAATGCAGTTATCTGTTATATGCTATTACTAATTGGGCTTTCTTTTCTTTTTTTTCTTTCTTTTTTTTTTTTTTTTTTTTGAGACAGAGTCTTACTCTGTCCCCCAGGCTGGAGTGGACCAAAGCAGCGTGATCTTGGCTCACTGCAACCTCCCTGGGTTCAAGTGATACTCCTGCTTCAGCCTCCCAAGTAGCTAGGACTACAGGTGCGTACCACACCTGGCTAGTTTTTTGCATTTTTTTTTAGTAGAGACAGGGTTTCACCATCTTGGCCAGGGTGGTCTTGAACTCCTGACCTCAAGTGATACACCTGCCTCAGCCTCCCAAATTGCTGGGATTACAGGTGTGAGCCGCCATGCCTGGCCTGTTCATAATGGATTTTCTAAATTATTTTTTTTTTTGAGACGGAGTTTCGCTCTTGTTACCCAGGCTGGAGTGCAATGGCGCGATCTCGGCTCACCGCAACCTCCGCCTCCTGGGCTCAGGCAATTCTCCTGCCTCAGCCTCCTAAGTAGCTGGGATTACAGGCACGCGCCACCATGCCCAGCTAATTTTTTGCACCTTTAGTAGAGACGGGGTTTCACCATGTTGACCAGGATGGTCTCGATCTCTCGACCTCGTGATCCACCCGCCTCGGCCTCCCAAAGTGCTGGGATTACAGGCTTGAGCCACCGCGCCCAGCTAAATTATTTTTTTATTTTTATTTTTTTTTTGAGACAGCGCCTTCCTGTATCGCCTAGGCTGGAGAGCAGTGGCACAATCATGACTCACTGCACTCTCAACCTCTGGACTCAAGTAATCCACCTCAGCCCCGTGACTAGCTGGGACTACAGGTGCTTGCCACCACCCCGGCTAATTTCTGTGTTTTTTTGTAGAGATGGGTCTGATCTCACACTCCTGGGCTCAAGTGATCTGCCTGCCTCAGTCTCCTGAAGTGCTAGGCCTTTTTGGGGAGGGGGCTTTAGAATAAAGACCTTAAGGAGGGGCAAGAGCAATTGTTTGAAATATTCCCCACTTCAAAAGCTCATGTTTTTCCTAGAACTCTGTTAACTAAATGTCCAGTTGTCACTGAGTGCGTGAGCCACTTTGCCTGGCCAATATTTACTCTTCTGATAAGACTCTATCTTGTTTGCCTGTTTTTTATGTGCATGAACAATTGTGTTCATATTTATTTTCATATCATGTTCATATTTCCCAAAGCAATAATATAATATTAAGAAGCAATATATTACATGTGTAATGGATCCTTGAAACTGTTTTACAAAAGTTATCTAGAGTGGGTTGTTTGTTTAAAGCCTACAGCACCTTGTATTTCCAGGCGGTCTCCCATCCAAGTAGTAATGAGGCCTGACCCTGCGTAGCTTCCAAGGTCAGACAAGATTGTGTGCGTTAGGAGTGTGTGGCTGTAGACAGAGTGTAATCAAGGGCTTTAACTGGGCAGCTTGATCTTCAAGTTACAGTGCAGTTAGATGCCAAAGAGTGTAGTATAGCTTGAATGGAGGAAAAATATGATCGGAGATGAACACCAAAATCAAGAGATGGGAAAGGAGGGGCTGATCAGAACGGGTTTCCATAGTTACCTCCCAGTTTTTCTTGGTGAGGAAGAGTTGATTAGCCTAAGAAATAATTTTCTCTGCTTCGGGTACGATCACTCACTCCCTTAGTGCCCCTGCTTGTTCTCACCTGGAACTATTTGGTTCTTCCCTTGAGTCAGGGGTCAGGGAGTAAAAGGGAGGAAACTGCTAGAGACAGATCAACCCGTACTCTGAAAACAGCTTATTTGGCAAGGAAGCCTCCAGCACCCTAGCCCCTTTACTGAAGTGCCCTGAGCATTGAGAGCATTTGGTTGTTTCCTAGCTGCAGTTGGATTTCTCACGATGTCCAGTGTTATCTCCATGTCCGCCCCTTTCTTCCTGGGGAAGATCATCGATGTCATCTATACCAACCCCACTGTGGACTACAGTGACAACCTGACTCGCCTCTGCCTTGGGCTCAGTGGTGTGTTTCTGTGTGGTGCTGCTGCCAATGCCATCCGTGTCTACCTCATGCAAACTTCAGGTAAAAGTCTCTCTCAGGGATGTGAGTCATACCAAAGATGATGTGGAGTCCTGTGGGTTTGTTCGGGCTCAAATCTCATGTGCTCCAGGCTCCATTCTCTTCCTTTCTTCCTGGCATCCTGTTAAGTGGGGATAGCACCCAGTGACTGCCCACGTGTTGGAGTTATAGATTATTTTAGATTAAGCACTCTCTTTTGAACTCTTCTTTTATAGTTGGAATTGAGCTCGTGTCTGTCTTATGGGAGGTTTGAAAATAAGGTCCCTGGCCATGCAGCTAGACTTCTGAGACTTCCTGAAGGCTTCAGAAACCCATTTACATGCCCCATGCTTGTGTTTCTCCTTAAGTAGCAGCTGGGATAAAAACTTTGTCAATATTTCTGTGAAGAGGCCTTGTTGTTACAGGCAGGTCACTGCCACAATAATGAGAGAACCCGGGACACCAACTCCAAGTCTGTTGCTCTCCATTTAGTCTGTGGATAATTAACCAGTTCTTGTCATTTGAAGGTTCAATACAAGAAAGGGTTTCCAGGGAGGAACAAAATGAGCTTTTGGAGGTTAATGTAATACAACTTCTTTATAAATAATATTTAAAAATCTCATCCAAGTGTGATACTCATGCCTGTAATCCTAGTATTTTGGAAGGCTGAGATAGGAGGATCACTTGAGCCCATGAGTTTGAGACCAGCCTGAGCCAAATAGCAAGACTCCATCTGTATAAAAAATAAAAATAAATTATTGGGTGTAGTGGCACACATCTGTAGTTTCAGCTACCCAGGAGGCTGAGGTAGGAGGATGGCTTGAGCCCAGAAGGTTGAGGCTGCAGTGAACTATGATCACGCCGCTGCATTCAAGCCTCAGTGTTAGAGCAATACCCAGTCACCAAAAAAAAGAAGTAAAAATTTTAAAAGCCTCTGAGACGGGTCGGGTGCGGTGGCTCAAGCCTGTAATCCCAGCACTTTGGGAGGCCCAGGTGGGTGGATCACGAGGTCAAGAGATCGAGACCATCCTGGTCAATATGGTAAAACCCCGTCTCTACTAAAAATACAAAAAATTAGCTGGGCATGGTGGCACATGCCTGTAATCCCAGCTACTCTGGAGGCTGAGGCAGGAGAATTGCCTGAACCCAGGAGGCGGAGGTTGCAGTGAGCTGAGATTGCGCCATTGCACTCCATCCTGGGTAACAGGAGTGAAACTCCGTCTCAAAAAAAAAAAGCCTCTGAGACATGTTATATTTATTTATTTATTTATTTATTTTTTATTTTTTATTTCATTTATTTTTTTTTTGAGACGGAGTTTCGCTCTTGTTACCCAGGCTGGAGTGCAATGGCGCAATCTCGGCTCACCGCAACCTCCGCCTCCTGGGTTCAGGCAATTCTCCTGCCTCAGCCTCCTATGTTATAGTTATTTTATCCCTGTATCCTCTCATTACTACCCACAGTCGGTAGTTAATAAGAGAAAAGTAGCATTCATTAGTAGTGCATGACAGTTGTTGTGCCAGGTTTGGGAAAGTCTCTTTCCACCCATGGGATACAGTGCAACAGACATGCTCAGAGGCTGCTTTGCTCAGAAGGGTTACAACTCCAGGCCAAGCTGCTGCACAGTAGGTGGTTGCCCCATAATGGTAATGGATGTCTTTACTCCAGGTGAGACTGTTTGTGTTTGCTTTTGCAGGTCAGCACATTGTGAATAGGCTGAGAACTTCATTATTCTCCTCCATTCTGAGGCAGGAGGTTGCTTTCTTTGACAAGACCCGCACAGGAGAATTGATTAACCGCCTCTCATCAGACACTGCACTCCTCGGGCGGTCAGTGACTGAAAACCTCTCAGATGGGCTCAGGGCTGGGGCCCAGGCTTCTGTAGGCGTCAGTATGATGGTATGTTGGCCTGGTTCCCCTTGGTACCTTCCTGCCAGGGCCTGGCTTGCACCAGACCTCTCAATTGTGAGATGAGCTCAAAGTGATCAGTTTGCATCATTCTGTAAGTGCCTAGAGCCAAAAGTGCTGTTGTAGAGGCTGCTGGGACGTGGGCATTGCCTCCACATGCATGGCCTCTTATACCTTCATTTCTACAGGATGAATGATTATCTGGAAAATGGATTCTTGTGTTACTGTTGGGTATTCTGAGATGTGTGAACCTGGGGTATTAAGGCAGAAAAGAGCATCAGGTAGAAGGAGCACTGGGTACTCCTTCTGTGGAGTGTACCAATCAGTGGGTAGTACCAATCTATGGACTAAATTCCATTCCTTGGTATGTATAACTCGACCTGTGTTCTTTTAAGGAGAGTGCTTTTCACTCCCAGAGCCTTTTTTCCTTCCCTTAACTGGGTGGCTTGTGCCTGTCCTGTCTGCTTGCCTTTCTTCTTCAGCAAGTGTTTCTATTTAGCCCAGTGCTGCAGGTCAGTAGAGAAACAATGCAAGCCACGTATGTTATTTTAATGTTTTGGTAGCCACATTTGAAAAAGCAAAAAGAGCCGGGCGCGGTGGCTCAAGCCTGTAATCCCAGCACTTTGGGAGGCCGAGGCGGGTGGATCACGAGGTCGAGAGATCGAGACCATCCTGGTCAACATGGTGAAACCCCGTCTCTACTAAAAATACAAAAAATTAGCTGGGCATGGTGGCACGTGCCTGTAATCCCAGCTACTCGGGAGGCTGAGGCAGGAGAATTGCCTGAACCCAGGAGGCGGAGGTTGCGGTGAGCCGAGATTGCGCCATTGCACTCCAGCCTGGGTAACAAGAGCAAAACTCCGTCTCAAAAAAAAAAAAAAAAAAAAATTAAAAAAATGAAATTAGTATCATTGGCTTTTTTCTTTTTCTTTTTCTTTTTTTTTTTTTTTGAGACGGAGTTTCGCTCTTGTTACCCAGGCTGGAGTGCAATGGCGCAATCTCGGCTCACCGCAACCTCCGCCTCCTGGGTTCAGGCAATTCTCCTGCCTCAGCCTCCCGAGTAGCTGGGATTACAGGCACGTGCCACCATGCCCAGCTAATTTTTTGTATTTTTAGTAGAGACGGGGTTTCACCATGTTGACCAGGATGGTCTCGATCTCTCGACCTCGTGATCCACCCGCCTCGGCCTCCCAAAGTGCTGGGATTACAGGCTTGAGCCACCGCGCCCGGCCAATGGTCTCAATCTCTTGACCTCGTGATCCACCCGCCTCGGCCTCCCAAAGTGCTGGGATTACAGGCGTGAGCCACCGCGCCCGGCCTTGCAAATATATTTTTGTAGAGGCAGGGTCTCTCTGTGTTTCCCAAGTTGGTCTCAAACTCTTGGCCTCAAGTGATCCTCCTGCCTCGGTCTCCCAAAGTACTGGGATTACAGGCTTGAGCCACTGTACCTGGCTGAGAGCAATTTTAATCATGTTTTATTTAAGCCAATATAAACAAAATATTGTAATCTCAACATGTAATTAATATAAAAATTATTAATAAGATATTTTACATTATTTCTTTCATGTTATAGTTGACCCTTGAACAATGCAGGGGTTGGGACACTGAACCCCACACAGTCAAAAATCAAAGTATAACTTTTGACCCCCCAAAAACTTAACTACCACTAGCTTACTGTTGACCAGAAGCTTTACTGATAGCATAAACAATCAATTACCATGTATTTGGTGTGTTATATATATTATATACTATGATCTTATAATAAAGCAAGCTAGAGAAAAGAAAATGTTATTAAGAAAATCATAAGGAAGAGAAAATATATTTGTTATTTATTACATGGAAGTGGATCATGATAAAAGTCATTATCCTCATTGTCTTCACATTGAGTAGGCTGAGAGGAGAAAGAAAGTTTGTTTTTACTGTCTCAGTGGCAGCAGAGATGGAAGAAAATATATGTATAAGTTGACCCATGCAGTTCAAACCTATGTTGTTCAAAGGTCAACTGAATTTCCAAATCTGATCTGTATTCTCTACTTATGAAGCATCTTAATTCAGATGTTAAATTTTCATTGAAAGTACTTAATCTGGATTTAGGTTTTATAAAATGTACAACTGAAAAAGTAGTTTGACACACTCAAGTTTTCCAGACATAATAGTTTGACAATAACTGGATGGAGTTTAGGCTTTTAAATTTAAATTAATTAACCCTAAATGCAATTTTTAAAAGTATCTCAGTCATACCTGGCACATTTTAAGTTTCCAGTAGCCGTGTGAGGCTATCGTTTTGGTCAGTGCAGTTCTAGACCTATGGAATAAGAACTGTAAATAATCCTTTCTCACAAATGGAAAGCTTGGATTTTGTCCTCTGTGTCCCACGAAGCATTCAGTTCAGAGAGGAAGGGTGTGTTGCCTATTTGATCAGACTTATAGAATGAAAAACAGATTTGAAATCTCATGATTTCCAGCTAAGACAGAAGCAAACCTCTAGAAGAGGACCCTTCCTGAACTAACATGCTGTTTTTCAAATATGAATAGTTTTGGGGATCAGGAAGAATTCAAGCTGGGAAAAATCACTTGGGGTACCTCTTTTTTTTATTTTTTTAAGAGATGGGGTTTCACCATGTTGGCCAGGCTGGTCTTGAACTTCTGACCTCGTGATCCACCCACATTGGCCTCCCAAAGTGCTGGGATTACAGGCATGCGCTACTGCACCCAGCCTGGGGTACCTCTTTCTGTTACAAGGAAAGGGAATTCAGTGTAGGTCAGATGAGCAATTCAAAAGGTTTGTTTGGGCTGCTGTAATACCACAGACTAGGTGGCTGGAACAACATAAATGTATTTCTCATGGTTCTGAAGGATGGAAGTCCGGGATCAAGGTGCTAGCAAAATCGTTTCATTCTGAGGCCTCTTTTCTTGGGTTGTAGGCAGTTGCCATCTGGCTGTGTGCTCACATAGTGGAGAGAGGGTGCTCTAAGAGTGTCTCTTCTTATAAGGACACTAATCCTCTTGGATCGTGGGCCCACACTTACCTCATTTAGCCTTAGTTACTTTCTTAGCGGCCCCATCTCCAAATACAACCATGCTGGGGGTTAGGGCTTCAACATGTGAATTTCAGGGTGAAACATTCCGTCTATAACAGCGCCTCAGGAAGTGGCTTCACGTAGGATCTCATCTTTGGCTCTAGAGAGTCAGAAATGTGACTTTGTTTCTTCTACACAAACTTATGGACCTGACTTAGGAGAAGTCCAATTACGAGAACCTCATACTGTGTATACCATGCTGCCAATTTATTAATTTACGTAGTGGGCCTTCCTTCCTACCATTAAGATGTGTTTCTGCCATTACAATTTTTTTTTCAGTTTTGTTTGTTTTGTTTGTTTTTTGTTTTTTGAGAGAGGGTCTCAATCTGTTGCCCAGGCTGTAGTACAGTTGGTATGATCTTGGCTCACTACGGCCTCCATCTCTCGGGCTCGAGTGATCATCCCACCTCAGCCTCCTGAGTAGCTGGAACTACAGGTGTGCATCATCATTCTGGCTAATTTTTGTATTGTTTGTAGAGGCAGTGTCTCACCGTGTTGCCCAGCCCACTGGTTTTGAACTCCTGGGCTCATGTGATCCACCTGCCTCGGCCTCCCAAAGTGCTAGGATTACAGGCATGAGCCACCATGCCCAGCCCATTTCTGCTATTCCAAACACTTCATTATGGTGCCAGGACCCTGTATTAGTCATCAGAAGGTTATTCATTAAGTATGGAACCAGAGTGAAGGGATGGGGGTGGTTCTGGGACAGTTCTGGGAGAATCCTGATGGACTGTGCCTGCCCTACACAGAGTATACCTGTTCAGTTGGTTCTTTTGAGATCAGTTGTGTTCAGGCCCCAGAAGTGTTAGACTTGCCTGTTGGTCTTGTGTCCTAATGGTGACCATCAGAGATAAGATTATGCCCCCCTCCAGGCTCACCCCAGGTGTCCTGATGGACTTGTCTTCCCAGGGTGGAACATTCCTATACACATCTGCTTGCTCCTCTGTGAAGGTGCCAAGCTCCTTTCTGCCTCAGGGCCTTTATCCATTGGCTCTTACCTCTTGATGGTGAGATCTTCCAAGATCATGTTACATCTGAAGTGATACTTTCTCTCTCTTTTACTTGTTTATTATCTAAGTCCGACCTCTTCTTTCTTGCATGAAAACTCTCTGAGGGTTGGTTAACTCCCAGGTGCCTGGAATAGTGCTTGCGCTCAGTAACAACTTGTTGAATGAGTGAATGAATGAATGATTGGTTGATCCATTCACTACCTTATGTTTAAGTTTGCAGCTTCTCCTCAGCATCATTTAGGAGAGCCTTGTACTGATTATACTATTTTCTGTGCGAAAGAGATATGGTAGATTTTAGTAATTTGTTGAAGAGATGCTAGTACCATTGAAAATACAATCACCAAATCACAAGGTTGACAGGAAAACCCTCTGTTACTTACTTCTAAAAGTTAGGCTCTGCTTTCAGCAGTTCAGTTGCTAGAAGCTCCTCAATATATTGAGCCCAGATGCCTCTTGCTGACTTCAGTCCACTGAGCCATGAAAGCAGCTCTTCTTTTACTGTTAGCTGTGTCCCCCAAGTCCTCTGTTGACTGTTTGTCATACGATGTCAGATTTTTTGTGTGGGTTTTTTTTTTTTTTTTTTTTTTTTTTGAGATGGAACATCACTCTGTTGTCCAGGCTGGAGTGCAGTGGCTTGATCTTGGCTCATTGCAACCTCCGCCTCCCACGTTCAAGCGATTCTGCTGCCTCAGCCTCCCGAGTAGCTGGGATTACAGGCATGCGCCACCACGCCTGGCTAATTTTGTATTTTTGGTAGAGATGGCGTTTCTCCATGTCAGTCAGGCTGGTCTCCAACTCCTGACCTCAGGTAGTCCGCCTGCCTCAGCCTCCCAAGGTACTGAGATTACAGGCGAGAGCTACCACGCCCAGCCCAATGGGGGACTTTTTGGTGACTTCACCATCTTGGTCATTGCAGTGGGACCTGTTGCTCTGGTTGTTCAGTGCCTGCAGGTGGTTCAGACTTGAATACACAACTGCTGATGTTGTCTGGCAGTGTGGAGCAGAATGGGCCTCTGCCACAGTCCCATCCTGTCTCTTCCCACTCTGTTGTTGAACAACATGATGTGTTCTACTACTGGCCTGAAGATTCTTTCTTTAGCAACTGCTTGTCACATTTCTTCTATGTGTCATGCTGAATGTTTATGGGGTTTTGTGAAGAATGAAGATGTCTGCAAAATTCCACCAAAACAGGATGTAATAACTTGGGACAGTACCTTCAAGCCTGCTATTAATTTAAACACATTCACACAAAGACACACTCACACACATACTCCTCTACTGTAGGTAATAAGAATGTCTTGCCACCTGTCTAACAAACACCTCTCATTTTTTTTTTTTTTTTTTGACAGTTTTTTGTCTCACCTAATCTGGCCACCTTTGTTTTGAGCTTGGTGCCTCCAGTGTCAATCATTGCTGTAATTTATGGACGATATCTACGGAAACTGACCAAAGTCACCCAGGATTCCCTGGCACAAGCCACTCAGGTAAAGGCCCCTTCCCGTCCGTGTGGTCTCCAGCAGAGTGGGGTTACAATCAGGGTCCTAGAGGGCAGATCCTAAGGGATGTGCGTAAGTTTTTCAATAAAGTGCCTTCCTTTCCTTTCATTAGGAATTACCCCAAGATCCCAGAAACTTAAACTACTCTGTTTTCTAGACTAGATTTCTATCTGTATCTCAAAAGTAGATCCAACTGGACTAAACATTTTATGGAGTCCTCACTTCTTTTTTTTTTTTTTTTTTTTTGAGACGGAGTTTCGCTCTTGTTACCCAGGCTGGAGTGCAATGGCGTGATCTCGGCTCACCGCAACCTCCGCCTCCCGGGTTCAGGCAATTCTCCTGCCTCAGCCTCCTGAGTAGCTGGGATTACAGGCACGCGCCTCCATGCCCAGCTAATTTTCTGTATTTTTAGTAGAGACGGGGTTTCACCATGTTGACCAGGATGGTCTCGATCTCTTGACCTTGTGATCCACCCGCCTCGGCCTCCCAAAGTGCTGGGATTACAGGCTTGAGCCACCGCGCCCGGCCTTGGAGTCTTCACTTCTTACTATCACTATTTCTTTTCTTTTCTTTTTTTTATCAGACAGGGTACATGAAGAAACTTTTTTTTCATGCACTCTAGAAGAGTCCTCACTTCTTTTTTTTTTTTTTTTTTTTTTTTGAGACGGAGTTTCGCTCTTGTTACCCAGGCTGGAGTGCAATGGCACGATCTCGGCTCACCACAACCTCCGCCTCCTAGGCTCAGGCAATTCTCCTGCCTCAGCCTCCTAAGTAGCTGGGATTACAGGCATGCACCACCACGCCCAGCTAGTTTTTTGTATTTTTAGTAGAGACGGGGTTTCACCATGTTGACCAAGATGGTCTCGATCTCTTGACCTCGTGATCCACCCGCCTCGGCCTCCCAAAGTGCTGGGATTACAGGCTTGAGCCACCGCGCCCGGCGAGTCCTCACTTCTTACTATCACTCTTTCTTTTTTCTTTTTCTTTTTCAGACGGGGTACATGAAAAACGTTTTTTTTTTCATGCACTCTAGGCTGGACTGCAATGGTCCAATCATATCTCAATGAAGCTTTTACCTCCCAGGCTCAAGTGATCCTCCCACCTCAGCCTCCTCAGTAGCTGTTATTATAGGCACATGCCACCATGCTCCACTAATTTTTAAAATTTTTTGTAGAGACAGGGTCTTACTGTGTTCCCCAGGCTGGTTTCAAATTCCTGGGTTCAAGTGATCCTCCCACCTCAATCAGAGTGCTGGGATTATAGACGTGAACCACCACAGCCACCCGCTATCACTATTTGTTATAGGATGTAACAACTAATTATGTTTTGTAAATAGTTACTGGATAACACTATGTTTTATTAATGTAATCTAGCTTTTCAGTGCTGTGCAACATTATCCTTTCAAAAATTAAAAATGGCCGGGTGCGGTGGCTCACACCTGTAACCCCAGCACTTTGGGAGGCCAAGGTGGGTGGATCACCTGAGGTCAGGAGTTTGAGACCAGCCTAGCCAACATGGTGAAACCCCGTTTCTACTAAAATACAAAAATTAGCCAGGCATGGTGGTGTGTGCCTGTAATCCCAGCTACTTGGGAGGCTGAAGCAGGAGAATTGCTTGAACCTGTGAGGCATAGGTTGTAGTGAGGCATAGGTTGTAGTTGATGTCATGCCATTGCGCTCCAGCCTGGGCAACAAGAGCAAAACTCTTCCAAAAAAAAATTTTTTTAATAACCGTTATACTTTCATGTTACAAAAACCATGCATGTTTATTGTTGAAAAATTTGAAAATATAAACAGAGAAAACAAAAACAGGCATAATCCTGTCTTTTTAAATTAACATTATTAGAATTTTGAAGTCTATCTTTTTCTCTGCATAAGAATGTATTTCTGGCTGGGCGAGGTGGCTCACGTCTGTAATCCCTGCACTTTGGGAGGCTGAGGTGGGTGGATCACCTAAGTCAGGTGTTCACGACCAGCCTGGCCAACATGATGAAACCCTGTTTCTACTAAAAATATAGAAAATTAGCTGGACATGGTGGCACGTGCCTGTAATCACAGCTACTCAGGAAGCTGAGGCAGGAGAATTGCTTGAACCTGGGATGCAGAGGTTGTAGTGAGTTGAGATCCTGCCACTGCACTCCAGCCTGGGCAACAAGAGCAAAGCTCCATCTCAAAAAAAAAAAAAAAAAAAAAATTGTATCTCTGCATCTACACACTCTCCTATTTTTCTGTCTACATATATGCTATATTTAGGTATAGGTTTTTTTTCCCCCCCAAAACTAGGATTTTTTTGTATACTCTGCTTTGTCACTCTTTTTTGACTTAGTTATGTATCAGGAGTGGCTTTCCATTGATAGTGTCTTAAAAATGAGAACTACATTTTCGGTTTGCTTTTAGAAGCTCTTGAAATAGGACCCTTCTCCTCCTGAAATGTATTTATTATTCTCCCAGATAGCTGAGGAACGTATTGGAAATGTAAGAACTGTTCGAGCTTTTGGGAAAGAAATGACTGAAATAGAGAAATATGCCAGCAAAGTGGACTATGTGATGCAGTTAGCAAGGAAAGAGGCATTCGCTCGGGCTGGCTTCTTTGGAGCAGTAAGTAGATCATTTTGGAAAAAGTGAAAGTGGCAGATGTTAGAAATGTGAGAGTTTTATTCTGTGGTGCTCAGCATAAGTAGAAAATAATTTTAATTTTTAAAATATTAGTCTTTAATTTCAAGGCTGAGAATGACTTTCTTTAAAATATTTTTGTGAGAAAGGAAGAAACAAGTAAATGTCCTTAGAGAAAAGTCAGTGCATGTTGCGATTGGGCATTAATTATCTGTGCAGTGTAGGCCAACGGCATTAGCTTTGCCTGGGCGCTGGTCAGCCTTGCTGAGACTTAGTTCCACCTCAGATCTGCTGGGCAGGAAATTCTGGAGCTGGGGCCACTGATCTGTTTAGCAGGCTTTCTGGGTAATTTTGATGCCAGCAATGTCTGAGGATTAACTGAAATCTCCTCAGTGTGTTTCAAGAAAGAAGTATAAAAAATCAATCACAGTGCATTCAAGTAGGCCATGAAATAGAAAATCACCATGAGGGCAAATTCAAGATATGTGTAAACTGAAAAAAACTTCAGAGGTGATTCCATCATTGCCATGATTAACAGTTAAGGAACAGCAGCTCAGAGAGGGCTGCCCCTGTACCTAAGGTGACCACACATGTAACCAAGGTAAAAACAGGCCACAGGTACAGGACTCCAGCTCCTCAGGCTGGTATCCTTACCCAGAACATCTCATTAAATTATATAAACCTATGTAGTAGATATTTGTTTCCTCTAGTTAGGGAAGAAAGCTTTAATATTAGTGTTATCCTTTGAAAACAGTAGATTGAATGAAATAGGGATCTGATAGGAGACTTAGCTTAGAGGTTTTCATGGTGATGAGATTGTTTTCTTCAATATTGCAATATTACAAAACCATTTTAAATTTGAAACTCAGGTGAAGTTAATATTTTGGAAAAATCTTGCTGTGACAATTAAATGCAAAAGGGACATTACATGCTGTGTTCATGTTTTTTGCATTCTGGGTCTTTGGTTCCCACCTGACTTCTGTGTTTGTTTCATTCGACAGACTGGGCTCTCTGGAAACCTGATTGTGCTTTCTGTCCTGTACAAAGGAGGGCTGCTGATGGGCAGTGCCCACATGACAGTGGGTGAACTCTCTTCCTTCCTAATGTATGCTTTCTGGGTTGGAGTAAGCATTGGAGGTAAATAATTTAAATAGGCTTGGGGCATCATAAATTAAAAATCAAAGCATCATTTCTGAAATAGAAACAGAACTTTCACATTACTTCAATTAACTTTTACTGAAAAAAGTATTTCTTAAAATGTTATTATTCCAACTGAGTTTTTTTTGTTTTTTGTTTTTTGAGATGGAGTCTGTCTCTGTCACCCAGGCTAGAGTACAGTGGTGTAATCTTGGCTCACTGCAACCTCCATTTCCCGGGTTCAAGTGATTCTCCCGTCTTAGCCTCCTGAGTAGTTGGGATTGCGGGCGCACATCACCATGCCTGGCTAATTTTTGTATTTTTAGTAGAGACGAGGTTTCACCATATTGGTCAGGCTGGTCTTGAACTCCTGACTTTGTGATCCACCCAACTGGGCTTTTAAAGAATTAAAATGAGTGTGACCCTCCCACACAAGGGAGCAAGCAGCTCCCTGGATGGGAAGTTTGGGGATCTGTGCAGGCCTCTTGCAGCTCAGCATCACTCTGGAGTGGTATTTCCCACCCTGCGTGTTCTGACCCTTTGTTCACTTGCTCACAGGTGCAGGCAGGAGGAGGGCTGTGCTGAGCAAGTGTGGACACAGAAATCCGTAGTCCTGTGTTAGTGATGGTTTTGCGATGGCGAATTAGTAGAGGATAAAATTCCTTTTGTGCAAAATCAACCATATTCCAAACTAATGAGCAATCAAAACAATATTTATAAATTATTAAACTATGTTTTTATTATTTATAAATAATTTATAAATAATTTATAAATTATCAAAATCAAGAATTGCTTGATTTTATCAAAGATCTCTTAGAGTTTAGCTTTTATTTTTCCTTTCCAGATGAAGTAAAGCAGGAATGCATCCCCAGTCAACTTGGTGCAAATGATTACCTGCTTTTTGTTTTCCTTCTTGTCTTTGAAAACCAAGATGGAAAGATCAGGTGAATAGCTTGAGGTCTGATTAATGGAACATCATCAAGTATCCTATGGTGTTGCCTCAACCGGAGAGTTTTATTTTCAGGGGTTTGTGTCTAATTGTTGAAGGTAGGGCATTTCCTTAGACATCTGCAGGCAAGTGAGGATTTTTTTTCTGGAATGAGATTTGCAGAGACACCTTAAGAAAAGCATTTTAGTTCTGCTGGCTGGTCTTGAATACAAACCTGATTAAGATGTTTTGGGGTGCTGGATGGTTTGGGAAGTGAGAAGGTGGTCCAATTCAGGAGACCCACAGACAGACAGTATGTAGGTCTTTCCTGTTCATTTCCTGGATTGAGCCCACTGGGCTGGAAGTTTCACCCCCTATTGTGGTCCTGTTCTCTTAGGTCTTCTGTCTTCTTAGGTCTTCTCGCCTCCTTCTAGTGGACTACCTACTCCACTTCCCCTCCCTCTGGTCTTTCTGTTCACATTCCAGGTTTCCTCCCTGGCCTCCCCTCATCTTAGTGTTTTTTGCCACATTCGACATGATCTTTTTCAGCCCCTCCTCTTCCCTCCTCTACCCTACTTGGCATGATAGAAGTTATTTCTGTTTGTGGTTGTTCTATTGCCCTCTCTGTTCACAAGAGACAAGTTCACAACTGTGCCTTGCACAGAATGGGTTGGAAAACACAGTTCTAATCCATCAGTGTAGTCAGTTACTACCACTGGTTATTGGAGATACGGCTAAGGCTTCATCTGCATGCAGATTGGGTAACTTGGTTTTCTTAACCACAGGCTAGCCCACAACTCTGGTCAGCTGTCTTGTTCAGGATCTGCCATCTGGTGTGAGGAGAGATAAGAAAAAGTAAGGGGGCCAGATGCGGTGGCTCACGCCTGTAATCCCAGCACTTTGGGAGGCTGAGGCGGGCGGGTCACAAGATCAAGAGATCAAGACCATCCTGGCCAACATGGTGAAACCCCATCTCTACTAAAAATACAAAAAAATTAGCTGGGCGTGATGGCGCGTGCCTGTAGTCCCAGCTACCCGGGAGGCTGAGGCAGGAGAATTGCTTGAACCCAGGAGGTGGAGGTTGCAGTGAACTAAGGTCACGCCACTGCACTCCAGCCTGGCGCCTGGTGACGGAGTGAGACTCTGTCTCAAAAAAAAAAAAAAGTATGGGTATGTTAGTGTACCCCTGTTGCCACCGGTTTCCTCCACATTTATAACTTAGGTGCCTAAGGTGATAGGAGTTTAATCCAAAAACCTGAATAAGCAGGTGAGAATTCTACCACTGAACCACCAGTGCCCAACAACTTGAATAGGATTTTAAGTGCTGTTCTTAAAGTAATCTTACACTTTTATAGAATCACTGTCCAAAGTGATTCTATAATAAATCTACAAAGCAAGAAATCCTATTTTATTAATTGAATAAATAAGAATTTTTAATTTGGTTTCTGCTTAGAAAGGCATATTGGGGGGAAAATCCCCAATGATTCTAAGCACATTCTCTTCTAAGAAGAGGTCAGAAGAACTGTATGAAGAAAAGCAAAACCTAACCATTTTCAAGTTTACAATTCAGTGGTATTTAGTACATTCACAATGCTGTGCAAACACTACCTCCATCTAGCTCCCCTACAGTTTCATCACCCTGAAAAGAAAACCAATACTCATTAAGCAGTCTATCTGCATTACTTCTTCCTGCCAGCTCCTGGCAACCACAGTTTGCTTTCTGTCTCTATGTATTTACCTATTGTAGATATTTCATGTAAGAGGAAACATGCAATAAATGTCCTTTTGTGTCTGGCTTCTTACACTTGGCATAATATTTTCAAAGTTCGTCTACATTGTAGCATGTATCAGTACTTCATTCCTTTTTTTTTTTCTTTTTTTTTTCCCCAAGACAAGGGCTTGCTCTGTCACCCAGGCTGGAGTGCAGTGGCACAGGCTTGACCTCCTGGGCTCAAGCAATCCTCTCACCTCAGCCCCCTAAGTAGCTAGGACTTACAGGCATGTGCCCACCATGCCTGGCTAATTTTTCTATTTTTTGTAGAGACAGAGTTTTGCCATGTTGCCCAGGCTGGTCTTGAACTTATGGGCTCAAGGAATCTGCCTTCCTCTGCCTCCCAGAGTGTTGGGATGGCAGGCCTGAGCCACTGCAACTTGGCTAGTATGTCGTTCCTTTTTATGGTTGAATAATATTCCGTTATAGAGAGAGATTGCATTTTGTTTATCCAGGGCCATTTTGCTTTTGTTCTTCAAAGTCAAAGCTCTTTACTATGTTCAACTACTTTTCACTTTCACTTTACTTCTTTTTAGTTTTGTTTTGTTTTAGAAAAAAGGGTCTCACTTTGTCTCCAGTCAGAAGTACAGTGGCATAATCCTAGCTCACTGCAGCCTTGACCTCCTGGGCTGAAATGATTCTTCCACCTGGGCCTCCTTAGTAGCTAGGACTACAGGCATGAGCTGCCATACTCAGCTAATTATTTTTATTTTTGTAGAGACAGGGCCTTGCTATACTGTGTTGCTCACGCTGGTCTCAAACTCATGGACTCAAGTGATCCTCCTGCCTCAGCCTCCCAAAGTTCTGGGATTATAGTTGTGTGCCACCATGTCCAGCCTTACTTTTTTCTTCTTTCTTTCTTCCCTCCCTTCCTTTTTCTTTAAAAAAATTAATACCATTTTCAAAGTAGTTTTAGGTTCATAGCAAAATTGTGTTGAGATAGGGGTGTATACCTCTACCCGCATACACGCATAGCCTCCCTCACTATCAACATCCTCTGCAGAGTGGTACATTTGATACAGTTACTGAACCTACAGCGGGTCACAGTGGTTTATGCCTTTAATCCCAGCACTTTGAGAGGCTGAGGTGGGCAGATCACTTAAGTCCAGGAGTTCGAGGCTAGCCTGGTCAACATGGCAAAACCCTGTCTCTAGTAAAAGTACAAAAATTAGCTGGGTATGGTGGCACACACCTGTAATCCCAAACTACTCAGGAGGCTGAGGCAGGAGAATTGCTTGAACCCAGGAAGCAGAGGTTCCAGTGAGCTCAGATCACACCACTGCACTCCAGCCTGAGTGACAGAGTGAGACTCTGTCTCAAAAAAAAAAAGAACCTACATTGACACAGCACTACATCCAAAGTCAAAAGTATACGTGAGGGTTCACTCTTGGTGTATATTCTATGCGTTTGGACAAATGCATAATGACATGTATCCAACATTACTGTATCATACAGAGTAGTTTCACTGCCCTGAAGATCCTCCGAGCTCTGCTTATTCATCCCCCTTATGCAACCCCTGACAACCACTGATGGTTTTACTGTTTCCATGGTTATGCCTTTTCTAGAATGTCATATAGTTGTAATCATACAGTATGCAGCATTTGATTGGCTCTTTTCATACAAATATACATTTAAGATTCCTCCATGTCTTTTTATGGCTTGATAGCTCATTTATTTTTAGCACTGAATAATATTCCATTGTCTGGATATACAACAGTTTATTCATTCACCTACTAAAGGACATCTTGGCTGTTTCTAAGTTTTGGAAATGATGAATAAAGCTGCTGTAAACATCCATGTGTAGGTTTTTGTGTAGATAGAAGTTTTCAGCTCATTTAGGTAAATACCAAGTAGTATAACTGCTTGATTGGATGGTAAGAATATGTTTAGCTTAGAACAGTGGCAGTATAATAGGCAATGAGATTTATCTGAGGCATGATTATTGCTAATTGAAAACCTTTCCCAGTACCCCTCTGTGATGACTTGCAATCTAGTCAGCATTAGCAAGTTTTTTCTTTTTTTTTTTTTTTTTTTGAAAGGGAGTCTCATTCCGTTGCCCAGGCTGGAGTGCAGTGGCACCATCTCAGCTCACTGCAACCTTCACCTCCTGGGTTCAAGCAATTCTCGTGCCTCAGCCTCCCGAGTAACTGGGATTACAGGAGTCTGCCACCATGCCCAGCAATTTCTTTTTTTTTTTTTTTGAGATGGAGTCTTACTCTGTCACCTAGGCTGGAGTGCAGTGGTGCAATCTGGGCTCAATGTAACCTCCGCTTCCCAGGTTCAAGTGATTCTCCAGCCTCAGCTTCCTGAGTAGCTGGGACTATAGGCATATACCACCGCATCCAGCTAGTTTTTCTGTATTTTTTTTTTTTTTTTTGAGACGGAGTTTCGCTCTTGTTGCCCAGGCTGGAGTGCAATGGCGCGATCCCGGCTCACCGCAACCTCCGCCTCCTGGGTTCAGGCAATTCTCCTGCCTCAGCCTCCTGAGTGGCTGGGATTATAGGCACACGCCACCATACCCAGCTAATTTTCAGTATTTTTAGTAAAGACGGGGTTTCACCATGTTGACCAGGATGGTCTCAATCTCTTGACCCTGTGATCCACCCGCCTCGGCCTCCCAAAGTGCTGGGATTACAGGCTTGAGCCACCGCGCCCAGCCTTTTCTGTATTTTTAGTAGAGATGGGGTTTCACCATGTTGGCCAGGCTCGTCTTGAACTGAACTCCTGACCTCAGGTGATGTGCCTGCCTCAGCCTCCCAAAGTGCTGGGATTACAGCCATGATTAGCCTAATATGTGTGCGTGTGTGTGTGTGTGTGTGTGTGTGTGTATTTAATAGTAGAGACAGGGTTTCACCATGTTGGCCAGGCTGGTCTTGAAATCCTGGCCTCAAGTGATCCTTCTACCTTGGCCTCCCAAAATGCTTGGGATTACATGTGTGAGCCATTGCATCTGTCCAGCATTGGCAATTTTTGACATCTCTGTGGAGACTGAATGAATTATTTTTTGTAGAAACAAGGTTCTCTCTGTGTTGCCCAGGCTGGTGTTGAACTTCTGGGCTCTAGCAATCCTTCTAGCTTGGCCTCCCAACGTGTTGAGATTACAGCCATGAACCACTGTGCCTGGCCTCATTGTTTTTTGTTTTTTGTTTTTTTTTACATAGCATTACGTTGTATTGGGTGTTATAAGTAATCTAGAGATTACTTAAAGTATATGGGAGAATGTGAGTAGTTCATCAAAGTTGTATTTACTGAGTGCCTGAGGTTAGGTATTATTTTGTGGATTTGTCTTTAAAATCAACTTGAAGTATTTTATATTTTTTAAAATTACGAGGTAGTGTTACATTTTATTTAAATTGCTATGCTTTTAACTAGGTAGACTTACTCTGCAGCATTATGATTTTAATCCAGTGGTTGATGAATATGACTATGTGTTTTTTTAATCCTTGATCAAACATTAAATCCTTATTAGAAATCAGTGAAATTTGGCTGGGTGCAGTTGCTCATGCCTGTAATCTCACACTTTGGGAGGCTGAGGCAGGTGGCCCGCCTAAAGTCAGGAGTTCAAGAGCAGCCTGGCCACCATGGCGAAACCCCATCTCTACTAAAAATAAAAAAATTAGCCAGACATGGTGGCGTGTGCCTGTAATCCCAGCTACTCAGGAGGCTGAGGCAGGAGAATCACTTAAACCAGGGAGGTGGAGATTGCAGTGAGCCGAGATCATGCTACTGCACTGCCTGGGTGACAGTGAGACTCCATCTCAATAAAAAGAAAGAACGAAATCAATGAAACTGGAGGAGGAAGCCAAAGGAAAACTAGGAGGCAAGGGAATTCTTAATATCAGTTTCCAGGAAGTTGCCTCAGGTTATTTTTTGAAAGTGTTAATAACAGATTCTATATTAAAAGCAATCATTGTCACTACTCTCAGAAGAGAAATGGCCAGTGATGGAAATGTGTGTGGATTCTGTTTCTCATCCTCAGGTCTGAGCTCTTTCTACTCGGAGCTGATGAAAGGACTGGGCGCTGGGGGGCGCCTCTGGGAGCTCCTGGAGAGAGAGCCCAAACTGCCTTTTAACGGTGGGTCTGAAAATCTTTCTTTGCTAGGATTAAACAGATGTGGCTTTGAACAATGAGATGAGCTCTTCCCTGCCTGTGAGGGAGTGAGGGATGAGCCACATAAGGATGTGGCTCCTGCTGCATGGCAGGCTGGGCAGGGGTGGTCAGGTTTTCTAAGAGAGCAGGTGGGACAGCTGCTGGGGCACTGTTGTGGGCCAGGATGCCTCTGGATGCATGGGCTGATCACATAGTGTGCTGCCCACTGTTCCCCTCCCTGCACCTGGGCAGGATGGAAGCCACTGTGGCCCCGGGCTGTGACTAGGAAGGGTCTACCAGCTAGTCTACCAAATTGATCCTCCCTAGTGATTCTGACATCTACTGTGGTGGAAAGAAGGGAGGACGAATCAGACATATGGAAGTTTTAAGTATCTAAGTTTCTTGGCATTTTGGGGTGGGGTAGGGGAGGCTGGTACTCATTGGCTGGAGCCATCTCCTTCCTTATCAATGACTTTCCTGGAGCTGTAGGGCCTAGACCCACTAGCCAGGGCTCAGGAGAAGTGGCTATGAGTAGTAACCACTCCCAACTGCTTATTGACTCCTAGGACATTGTTGGGTAGCCCCAGGTCCCTAAGTGAAAGCCCAATATTCTCCAGATGTGTTAGGCCTGGGAAATAGGCCCAACTGAGAGAGGTTGAGTGGTGTATCCCAAATCAGAGAAGGTGAATGCCAGGGCAGAACAGGCCTCTGACCCCATCCAGTTCTGTGGCTGTTTTGCAGTCCTTCCCCATTCATCATAACTCTTTCAAAATATTTATTCCTGGTAGGCAAGATAAACTCTGGAGCTACACACAGGCAGTGTCACAGGGAGAAGGCTATTGGCTTTGAAACCAGACTGCCCCAAGGGTGGATCTTAACTCCACTACTTGTTAGCTTAAGCAGGTTGTTGTCTGTGGTCTTCAGTTTCCTCATCAGCAAAATTGGAATCATAATTTCTACCTCTCAGGGTTGTAAGGATCAAATAAGACCGTCTATGTATAGTACCTTGGACATAGTAGGTGTGGAGTTGGCACACAGTAAGCATCTAGCCTTGGTCTGCTTCTGACTTACCCTTTAAGAGCTCATATGCCAGGGTTAGCTGTGGTGGAGTCACCATCCGTAGACAGGTAAGTAGGAGAACCGAGTTCAGCTATGAGTTTAATTTTTTGCTTTGAGTAATTAATATTCCGTTTTATGTTTCAGAGGGGATCATCTTAAATGAAAAAAGCTTCCGGGGTGCTTTGGAGTTTAAGAACGTGCATTTTACCTATCCGGCTCGCCCAGACATGCCCATATTTCAGGATTTCAGCCTTTCCATTCCATCAGGATCTGTCACGGCACTGGTTGGCCCAAGTGGTTCTGGCAAATCAACAGTGCTTTCGCTCCTGCTGAGGTTGTACGACCCTGTTTCTGGTAAGTGGTTCACTACACGGTAGCACCGGGGGACTCTCCGGAGCTCTGCTCCCACTTTGTGTCCCTGGGAGATGCTCAAACCATGCAGATACCTTCTTTTGTGAGAGTTCTAAGTGCCAGTGAAAAGAAATCCCTCAAACAGAAGTTGTCATTTGCAGGGGCATGACAGCTCATACAGAGGCCTTTAGAGCATTTTGTATATGATGTGTCCTATCTCTTCAAGCCCAGAGTGACTTCCCCAATTCTACCTCCTCATATCCCATGTGGGTATCTCCTCTGGACATGCTCTCTACTGGGAGCAGGTGGATGAGGCTGTGCTCAGTGGCCAGGAGAAGGTGCCTGAGTGCTGCTGGACATCCCTACGCTCCAGGAGCACCCTGGAGAACCGCCATGTGCCAGCAGGCGTGCTGGGCGCAGGTGTGATGGGGAGCTCCTGGAGAACCTCTGCCTCTGCCTGTGACCCACTGAGTGGTTATTGTGCACACGGTTAACTTGGCAATCAGTGATTCACTTCTATGTGACTGTTCCGTTGAAACTATTTTGAGCTAGTAGGGATTTTCTTAATGGATGATTTTTCTCATTCTAGTTTTTGTTTTATTTTTAACTAGATTATAACATCTTTAAGAGCAAAGAACACATGATTTTACTTCTTATTTATTTTTTTTTTTTGAGACGGAGTTTCGCTCTTGTTACCCAGGCTGCAGTGCAATGGCGCGATCTCGGCTCACCGCAACCTCCGCCTCCTGGATTCAGGCAATTCTCCTGCCTCAGCCTCCTGAGTAGCTGGGATTACAGGCACACGCCACCACGTCCAGCTAGTTTTTTGTATCTTTAGTAGAGACGGGGTTTCACCATGTTGACCAGGATGGTCTCGATCTCTTGACCTCGTGATCTACCCGCCTCGGCCTCCCAAAGTGCTGGGATTACAGGCTTGAGCCACCGCGCCCGGCCGATTTTACTTCTTTATATCTTCCCTGGAGTAGACAACAGTGTCAGCAAGCAAACGACTCTTAGTAAAAATCAAATCATGAATTTAAAAAGAATATTTTGACCAGATGTGGAGCCCCACACATGTAATTCAAACACTTTGGGAGGCTGAGGTGGGAGGATCACTTGAGGCCACAAGTTGGAGACCAGCTTGGGTAACATAGTGAGACCCTGTCTCTATTTTTAAAAAATTAATAATTTTTAAAACGAAAAGAATGTTTTGTGTCTTTGTGTTTATGCTTTTTGGTTAAAACAGTGTGAGAGCTGGTTACATGTCAGATAAATGGACTTGCAAATCCTAACCCACAGAATCACCACCTATGTTAAAATGGGGCTCACTACACTGTTTGCTTCTGGACTCATCATTGATTTGCTATACAATTCGGAGTTTAAAAACATCCTAGTTAGCTGGGCACAGTAGCTTATGCCTGTAATCCCAGTTCTAGGGAGGCAGAGGTGGGAGGATAGCTTGAGCCCAGGCATTTGAGACCTGCCTGGGCAATATAGTGAGACCTCATTCTCCACAAAAAGACAAAAAACAATCCTAGTTAGGTTGCTGTAAATCAAGTAAAAATACTGACTCTCTAGTTTCTTCATCACAATGAATAAGTCCAGGACAAAGCAAACTGCAATTAAATGTTTGCCATGTGTAGTCTACAGAGTGCTTTGTGCTTTTTAGTCAAAGATCTCAAGTTTTTGCCAGGTTATGAAAGTTTCTGGCTGGCTTCTATAATTCCACAACAGTAATCAAGAAGAAAGGGCATTTTTTATGCTGTCACTGTTATCATTATCACCAAGTATTGTTGATCACCCTCAATGTGTAGAATTCTGTTAGTGAAAGTCATAGAGATGGCATCTGATTATTTAAAAGCTCTGCCATAGTATCGACCAGATTCTTAGTTGCAGACAACAGATTCCTCACCATCTAAGCTTCTACAGAAAGGGATATTTAAAGGAGTAATAAAAGAACTCAAAAATCACTGGCAGGGATGACAAAATAGATTCTAGATTGGACTTCCAGGACAATTCCCAGAATTCTTTTTTTTTTTTTTTGAGACGTAGTTTTGCTCTTGTTACCCAGGCTGGAGTGCAATGGCATGATCTCAGCTCACCACAACCTCCGCCTCCTGGGCTCAGGCAATTCTCCTGCCTCAGCCTCCTGAGTAGCTGGGATTACAGGCATGCGCCACCACACCCAGCTAGTTTTTTTGTATTTTTAGTAGAGACGGGGTTTCACCATGTTGACCAGGATGGTCTCAATCTCTCGACCTCATGATCCACCCGCCTCGGCCTCCCAAAGTGCTGGGATTACAGGCTTGAGCCACCTGCGCCCGGCCTAATTTCCAGAATTCTATCCTAGAACCAGGCCTTGAAGGAAGCTACTGACACTGGCATGGTCAGCTGGAAATTTAGGCAGTTGCCGTCATGAATGCCAGCTTCAGAACTGTGCCACGTCTGCTAATATTCGTGCCAGCAAGTGGATACCTCATGGCTTGCTCCTCCCTTCTGAATCAAAGCTTTGCACAAGGGCATCTTATCGGTGGAATCCTAAGTCACTCTATGGAGTTTTGGGGAACTCCCTACAACCTCTGGGGTACAGGAAGGCAAGCTGGACAGATGAACTAGGTGAGATAGTCATCCAGCCACTATTGGGAGACAATAACTTGGGCAATCCAGAAACTCCCTTTTAACTCTGAAATTTCATGAAATATGTTGGTTTTAGAGTCCATTTGGAGATTTTCAGTACATTTTTTATATTTGAAAAATAAGAGTCTGGAATTTTCCCTCTGGATCCTTTCAAGGTATTGGTCATCAGCCTCATCACACTCAGTGACTCTTTCCTTTCCTCTCCACAAGGAACTATCAGTCTTGATGGCCATGACATCCGTCAGCTAAACCCAGTGTGGCTGAGATCCAAGATTGGTACAGTGAGTCAGGTAAGAAGAGAGGCTTCCATTTCTATTTCACTTTCTTTTAAAATTACTTTTGTCACTGGGCACGGTGGCTCATACCTGTAATTCCAGCACTTTGGGAGGCAGAGGAGGGTGGATCACCTGAGGTCAGGAGTTCGGGACTAGCCTGGCCAACATGGTAAAACACCATCTCTACTAGAAATACAAAAATTAGCCAGGTGTGGTGGTACACCTGTAATCCCAGCTACAGGAGAGGCTGAGGTGGGAGAATTGCTTGAACCTGGGAGGCGGAGGCTGCAGGCTGCAATGAGCCGAGATTGTGCCATTGTACTCCAGCCTAGACAATAGAGCAAGACCCCACCTCAATCAATCAATCAGTCAGTCAGTCAATCAATAAATAAAATTACTTTTGTCTTTTGCATTTTTTTGTCTCAAACTTCTCAAGTGAGAAGGAATGGAAGTCTTCTCGGTGTATTAAGTTCATCTCACATGGCAGGCTGTTAAGGTTTGCAAGTAGTGCTGTTCCCTGAAAACCCTATACAGTTGAGCAAGGTGAAGCCTTGACTTTTTATTGAAAGCTGGAGACTGCCGTTACTACATAGTCTAGAGGATGGGGAGGAAATGATAGAAATTTTTATTGACTCTTTTTTAGCTTTTACTGATTCTTCCCCACTTCTGATTTTCATCACCAGCCATAGTCTACTATTCTGCTTAATGAGTTTCAGGGACAAGTGAGCAAAGACTATGGCAAGAGCCAGAGCCGCCCTTGCAAAGAAGTTGCAGATTTCAAAGCAGAGTGTTAATGTAATGTGGTCACTTTGATAAGGCCATTTTCAGAAGATCCTTTGGGGCAGGGAAATGTTGCCGCAACTGTTCTAATTTTTATTACCAGGCTGTGTACACAGCATACAAACCTAAGCCTCCCCCCATTTCTGAATCGCTCTTTTTTTTTCTTTTTTTAATTGCATTTTAGGTTTTGGGGTACATGTGAAGAACATGCAAGATAGTTGCATAGCTACACACATGGCAGTGTGATTTGCTGCCTTCCTCCCCTTCACCTATATCTGGCATTCCTCCCTATGCTATCTCTCCCCAACTCCCTAACCCCACTGTCCCTTCTCTATTTCCCCTCAACAGACCCCAGTGTGTAGTGCTCCCCTCCCTGTGTCCATGTGTTCTCATTTGAAACACTCTTTCTAGTTAGCTCACCTTCTCTGCACTCCACTTGGGTAAGAGCAGGTGGACAGTGATGGGTGCTCAGGAGTGTAGGGACATCAGTGGTGTATATTATTGAGGATGGAGAAAACAGCCTGGAAGTTTGCTTGCTTTTTAGGACCACTCCATAGGGTTCTGTCAAGAATTTTTTATTCCTGCCTGGTTTGCATGTATTTCCAAAAGTAATGGATAGAGATGGATTCCCCTCTTTGTCCGGAGTGGAAGCCAGGCAGCTGGAAAGTGCAATTGGACTTAAGGTCTCCCAGTGCCTCCTGATTCCTACGATAGGGGACTGACATTTATGAAGTTCCTACCGTGTGCCAGGTGGCTTGTGGGCACCTGCCGTGAGGTCTCATTGCCTGCAGCATGGTGAGAACTACAGGTGATAAAATCAATCCTGTGTATGACAAAACATAAATTTTAAAAAAGACTGCTAGGTGAATTTATGGAGAATGAGGAAGAAACCAAGAAAATAGTCTGTATTCTTGGATAGCACTTTAATAGTTTCTTGGATGTAACTGAATTTACTAGACACATTAGAAGTCTGTTTTGAAATTTGTGATATGTTTTATTTCCAATTTATAGGAACCCATTTTGTTTTCTTGCTCTATCGCTGAGAACATTGCTTATGGTGCTGACAACCCTTCCTCTGTGACCGATGAGCAAGTCCAGAGAGTGGCTGAAGTGGCCAATGCAGTGGCCTTCATCCGGAACTTCCCCCAAGGGTTCAACACTGTGGTTGGAGAAAAGGGTGTTCTCCTTTCAGGTGCATTTTTTTTTTTAACTGCTTTTAGCAAAAACTCTATATTCAAAGAACTTTTTACACATTTCCATGTTGCAGTATTATTTTCTAATTAGGCTTTCATCTTTGGAGTTTTTGAAATTAGCCTTACTACTTGCTAAAATCTCTTATATGTAGAAAACCACCCAGTATTTTTTTTTCACTTTCTACCTCAAATGTGTTCCAAAAATTGAGAGTAGTACTCAAGTCGCAGCAAGCTTTTTTTCATTTGAAAAAAAAAAAAAAGAAAAGTGTGCTTTGCAAACTGAGACCCTCAAAAATTAAAGAAAATAAGGTAAGTGGCAGGATGATTTGCCCAGGGAGTCAGGGAATGTGCATCAGGAACAAAGCTGAAATTGAAAGAGTTCTTCACTCCCTACATACTAGCCCAGGGGTTGGCAAACTTTTCTGTAAAGAGCCAGAGAGTAAATACTGTGAGTTTTATGGGTCACATATGATCACTGTCACATATTTTTCTTTGCGTATCTTTTTAAAACAACTCTAAAAATATAAAACACATTCTTAGCTTGAGGGCCGTGTAAAAACAAGTCATGATTCAGGTCTGGCCTGTAAGCCATAATTTGCTGAATGGACTCACAGCTGTGAGGCAAAGTGAGTGGTTTCCTGTGATGTCAGACCACACGCATCATCCTGGATCACATCATGGGTACTGTATTTTCACGAGGGAGAGAAGACTTCTTACGTATTTCTTTAAAGTGCAGAAATGGAACCAATGAGTAGAATTAAAGAGAAATAAATTTTGAGATAAACACCTTTTTTTTTTTCTCAGTACAAATACTGAAATGTTTCCTTGCAAGGTAACAAGCTCCCAGCTGGGCCTGGTGGCTCACACCTGTAATCCCAGCACTCTGGGAGGCCAAGGCAGTTGGCTTGCTTGAGCTCAGTAGTTTGAGACTAGCCTGGGCAATATGGTGAGGCCCCCCCGCCCCACCAAAAGTACAAAAAAATAGCTAGACGTGGTGGTATGTGCCTATGGTCCCAGCTATTTGGGAGGCTGAGGTAGGAGGACTGCTTAAGCCCAGCAGGGCAGAGGTTGCAGTGAGCTGAGATTACACCACTGCACTCCAGCCTTAGTGACAGAGTGAGTGAGGCCCTGCTTTAAAATCGGAGGCCGGGCGCGGTGGCTCAAGCTTGTAATCCCAGCACTTCTGGGAGGCCGAGGCGGGTGGATCACGAGGTCGAGAGATCGAGACCATCCTGGTCAACATGGTGAAACCCCGTCTCTACTAAAAATACCAAACATTAGCTGGGCATGGTGGCACGTGCCTGTAATCCCAGCTACTCAGGAGGCTGAGGCAGGAGAATTGCCTGAACCCAGGAGGTGGAGGTTGCGGTGAGCCGAGATGGCGCCATTGCACTCCAGCCTGGATAACAAGAGCGAAACTCCGTCTCAAAAAAAAAAAAAAAAAAAAAAAAAAATCGGAAACAGCTTATGTTGAACATAAAAAAATCCTTGCCTCTGCTTGAGCAGCGAGTGGGTGCCTCTTTGTTAGAGTGAAGGCTGGCAGATTGGACTAAAACAATAGTCTTTTCCAATGCTAAACTTTTCATTTGAAGTTAAACCACAGAAAATATAAGAGTTTTAAGCTTATTGTATAACATATACATATATATGCAGTAAATGAAAAGGTGTCTTTGATAGATTTGAGATGTTCCAGGAGTAGAATTCCTGACTGCTGTGTAAAAGTGAACTGCTACTCCATCTCTGAAACATATCTGAGAAATGGGGCAGAAAACCAGTTTAAACTGCTTGTGATGAAATTTTTGAAAATTGAAGTGTGAGGTTTGTCCCAAGAGCACATCACCTGCCTTGAAACAGATTCTGCATATCCTTCCCTCTAGTAGGATTCTCCAGCTCTGTTTCTTAGTAAAGTAACCGGAGGTTCCAGTCTGCTCTTGCTTTCTGGAAGACAGAACACCTAGTAATAGATTCCCAGCGTACTCATTGGCACCACAAATGACTCAGAGGGGACCATGCTATCAGCTGGCTGCTCTAAAGACCTACCTCAGGGTACTCAGACACCCCCACCAATCAGAGGCTCAGAAGGAGAGGGTTTTCCTCACTGCCCTTCTTGTGTGCACTGGTTTCCTGTTTGAGAGCAGCATTCAGCAGCACCACACACCTCAGCTGTAGAAGATGAACCTCTCTTATATGAAATGAAATGATGTCCAGCAACTACTGTTGATAAGTATGTTCAGCCAATAAAATCAACCAAAAAGGAATATTTTTTTATCCCCCAAAATGGAATTGGGTTTTATAAACAATGTAAGTTGGGAGGAGTGAGCATTCTGAGACTTTCCAGGTGTGACTTAGGAGTAGTGTCCCTGGAGGAAAGGAGGGAGGATGGGGTAAGACAAAGATAGGGAGGGAATCAACACAGATTTCCTGCTGACTCCACTCCATCCACCTTACCTCCAGTCTGTTTCTTCACTTTTAGTAGAATTTGAGCTTTAAAAGACGGGGAGGATTAGAGTGCTTACTGTAACTTTCAGTGTCATACACACGTTACTATTCATTCTTCTAAGAGGAGGGAAAAAGGGACACCATAAAGAATAAGTGCTATGTTAGCTGGGCATGGTGGCACATGTTGTAGTCCCAGGTACTGGGGAGGCTTAGGTGGGAGAATCACTTGAGCCCAGGAGTGAGAGAGCTTGCAGTGAGCCATGATTGCACTGCACTACTGCACTCCATCCTGGAAGACAGAGAGCAAGACTCTGTCTCAAAAGAAAAGAAAAAAAAATCACTCTAATGTGGCAAAATTAGAATTCTCAGCCTCAGCACCACTGATGTCCTTTGCTCCCAGACATTTCAAGGGTTCTTTGGAAACCTCCAAATATCTTGAGTCTCTGGTTTCCTTGCTACACTGGATATTCTGTTAGGGAGGAAGTATGTGGAGTGATGAACAGCATAGCTCTTTATATGCTTTTAAGTGCATACCCCTTGCACTGTGTAGGTTCAGATCTCAGTTCACTGCTTACCAACTATGAGATCTTGGACATGTTACTTTATATTTCAGTTTATCATCTGTAAAATGGGAATAATTATAGGGTCTGTCTCATAGGATTTTTAAAAAGATTAGCCAGGCACAGTGGCTCACACCTGTAATCTCAGGCCTTTGGGAGACCAAGGCAGGAGGATCTCCTGACTCCAGGAGTTTGACACCAGCCTGGGCAACACAGCAAGACCATCTCTACAAAAAGTTTTAAAAATTAGCCAGGTGTGATGGTGTGTGCCTGTGGTCCCAGCTACTCAGGAGGCTGAGGTGGGAGGATCACTTGAGCCCAGGAGGTTGAAGCTGCAATGAGCTGTGTTCATGCCACTGCACTCCATTTGGGCGAGAGAACAAGACCTTGTTTGAAATTATTTAAAATAAAAACATTAAATGAGATAATACATGCAATGCAAATAGAAGATGCGTGGTATTGGATGGGCACTGTGGCTCCCGCCTATAATCCCAGCACTTTAGGAGGCCAAGGTAGGTGGATTGCTTGAGCCCAGGAGCTTGAAAGCAGCCTGGGAAACATAGTAAAAACCCACCTCTACCAAAAATTAGCCAGGTGTGGTGGTGCACACCTATAGTCCCAGCTACTTGGGAGGCTGAAGTCAAAGGATTACTTGAGCCCAGGAGATTGAGGCTGCAATGAGTCATGATCGTGCCACTGCACTCCAGCATGGGTGACAGAGCGAGACCCTGTCTCAAAAATAAAAAGAAAGAGGCCAAGCATGGTGGCTCATGCCTGTAATCCCAGCACTTTGAGAGGCTGAGGCAGGTGGATCACGAGGTCAGGAGTTCGAGACCAGCCTGACCAATATGGAGAAACCCTGTCTCTACTAAAAAAGAAAAATACAAAATTAGCCAGGTGTGGTGCCGGGTGCCTGTAATCCAGCTAACTCAGGAGGCTGAGGCAGGAGAATCGCTTGAACCCAGGAGGCAGAGGTTGCAGTGAGCTGAGATCGTGCCACTGCACTCTAGCCTGGGTGACAGAGTGAGACTCCCATCTCCAAACAAACAGACAAAAAATAGAAAGAAAGAAAATCAAATACCTGGTATATAGGAAGTCCTCAATAAATGTTAGCTATATGGCCGGGCGCGGTGGCTCACGCCTGTAATCCCAGCACTTTGGGAGGCCGAGGCGGGTGGATCACGAGGTCAAAAGATCGAGACCATCCTGGTCAACATGGTGAAACCCCGTCTCTACTAAAAATACAAAAAAAAAAAAATTAGCTGGGCATGGTGGCGCATGCCTGTAATCCCAGCTACTCAGGAGGCTGAAGCAGGAGAATTGCCTGAACCCGGGAGGCGGAGGTTGCGGTGAGCCGAGATCGCGCCATTGCACTCCAGCCTGGGTAACAAGAGCAAAACTCCGTCTCAAAAAAATAAATAAAAAAAAATAAAAAAATAAATGTTAGCTATAATTATTAATTTTGGGATTGATAGACAATATATTTTAAAATAGGTTTCTAGTCTATCTCAGCTATGACTGACTGGAAGAAGTTTGCCTTCAAATTGCCATGTGACTTATCATAAAAGCCTATTACTAAGAATTTTTGTTAAGGCTCTCTTTTTTTAAATATTGTCTTTGTCAGGTGGGCAGAAACAGCGGATTGCAATTGCCCGTGCTCTGCTTAAGGTAAGTCTGAAGCTACTTGGCTGTTTTTTAAATTAGGGATTATTTTTATTAGGAACTTTGTAGTTTGTAATTTACTATTTGTCTTCTTCCATTTCTTGTTTTTTGTTTGTTTGTTTCCTGAATGGGGAGGGTGACAGTTCTGGTGAAAGGTAAGTTAGTGCATATTGTCCAAATTTAACAAGTATTTCTTAGGTATCATGAGCCCAGTACTGTGCTAAAGATGTTTGAGGTAGAGGAATTTAACACATAGCCCCTCTATCAAGAAGCATACAGTCTAGCCAGTGAAACAGTGATTATTAATGCAAAATATAAAACAGCACAAGTATGCATATTTGTACAATCTGTAATCAGCTGCTAAAGTGAATAGTACAGACTTGAAGTACTTAGACAAGACTCCTAAAAGGAGAGGGAAGAGCCATTGTAGTTGAAAGGCAGGTGTTCTATTTTTAAGGAAGTGATAGTCTTCCCATTGTTACACAACTATTCTCCTGAAGTGTATAGGTGATTTTTACTGAAGCATAATTTACATACATAAAATTCACTTAAGTATACTTTCCAGTGACGTTTAGTAAATTTGCAAAGTTGGTTGTACACAAAGTCCAGTTTCAGAACATTTCTATCACCCTAAAAAGATCTCTCGTGCCCACTTGGAGTCTTTTCTTGTTTTCCAGCCCCAGGATGCCATGAATCTACTTTGTCTGTTTAGATTTGCTTTTCTAAGGACATTTAAGATAAGTGGAGTCCATCAGTATATGGTTTTTGGCATCTAGCTTCTTTCACTTAGTACAGGTGGAGTGTTTTTGAGATTTCTCCAATTTGTAGCTTGTATCAGTACTTTATTCCCTTCTACTGTTGAGTAGTATGGATGGATCCCGATTTGTTGATCTCTTCACCAGTTGATGAATGCTTGGGTCATTTCCAGTTTGGGGCTATTGTGAATAATATATGAATGAATAGTAGCTACCTTTTTATGAGGATGTATGTTTTCATTTGCAAAGCTAGAATTTAATGTTTTACCTACATCATATTAGTCTTTTTTTTTTTTTTTTGGTCTTATGTGTTTTAATTTAATTTAATTTTGAGACAGAATCTCACTCTGTCTCCCAGGCTGGAGTGCAGTGGTACAGTCTCAGCTCATTGCAATCTCCGCCTCCCAGGTTGCAAGAGATTCTGTGCCTCAGCCTCCCAAGTAGCTGGAATCACAGGTGCATGCCACCACACCCAGATGATTTTTATATTTGTAGTAGAGGTAGGGTTTCACCATGTTGGCCAAGCTGGTCTCCAACTCCTGACCTCAAGGGATCCACCTGCCTTGGCTTCCCAAAGTTATTTATTATTTCTAAATTAACTATAAACAGGGCCTTGAAAGTTATGAACTATTTTTTTTTAATATTATTAATTTTTGGCCGGGCGCGGTGGCTCAAGCCTGTAATCCCAGCACTTTGGGAGGCCAAGGCGGGTGGATCACAAGGTCGAGAGATCGAGACCAACCTGGTCAACACGGTGAAACCCCGTCTCTACTAAAAATACAAAAAATTAGCTGGGCATGGTGGCGCGTGCCTATAATCCCAGCTACTCAGGAGGCTGAGGCAGGAGAATTGCCTGAACCCAGGAGGCGGAGGTTGCGGTGAGCCGAGATCGCGCCATTGCACTCCAGCCTGGGTAACAAGAGCGAAACTCTGTCTCAAAATATATATATATATATAATTAATTTTAAAATTTATGACAAGGTCTCATTCCTGTCACCCAGGCTGGAGTGCAGCAGTGTGATCATGGCTCACTGTAGCCTTGACCTCCTGGGCTTCAGTGATTTTCCTGCCTCAGCCTCTTGGGTAGCTAGGACTGTAAGGGCATACCATACCAAACCCAGCTAATTAAAAAAAAAAATTTTTTTTGTTAGAGATGGGGTCTTGCTATTTTGCCCAGGCTAATCTTGAACTCCTGGGCGCAAGCAGTCTTCACCCCTCAGCCTACCAGACTGCTGGGATTACAGGTGTGAGACACCACAGCCAGCCTTATTCATTGTATGTATGTATGTATATATATATTTTCTGAGATGGAGTCTTGCTCTGCTGCCCACATTGGAGTGCAGTGGTATAATCTCAGCTCACTGCAACCTCCACTTCCCAGGTTCAAGCTATTCTCCTGCCTTAGCATTTGAGTAGCTGGGATTACAGACATGTGCCGCTAGAGATAGGGTTTTGCCATGTTGATTAGGCTGGTCTTGAACTCCAGATCTCAGGTGATTCACCTGCCTTGGCCTCCCAAAGTGCTGGGATTACAGGCATGAGCCACCATCTGTCTGCCCACCTTACTCATTTTAGATTCCCACCTCCCTAACTAACCAGCAGGATAAAATTGCTCTGTTGATCGTTTAAAATAATCTCTAATCTTTCATTTATGTACTAGTGATTGTTGATCGTTTAAAACAGTCTCTAATTCTTTCATTTATGTACTTAAACCTGACACTTAGTAATTTATGGTTTTTTTTTGTAACAACTTTGAGATATAATTCAAATACTACATAATTTGTCCATTTAAAGAATACAATTCATTGGTTTTTAGTGTATTCAGTGTTGTGCATCCATCACCACAATTTTAGAACACTTTCATCACTCCCACCAGGGACCCTCTAATCTTTAGCAGCCATGCAGCTCCCCTTCCTTATTTCTTACATTGAACCCAGCCCCAGGTATCCACTAATCTTTCTGCATTTCTATATTTCATACAAGTGAATTCATACAGTGTGTGATCCTTTGTGTCTGGCTTCTTTCACTTAGCATAAGTTTCCAAGGTTCATCCACATTGTAGCATGTGTCAGAATTTTACTCCTTTTTATTGCTCAGAGTTTGTGTTTTTCCAATAAAATTTTATCTTTTTTTTTCCTTCTTCAGAATCCCAAAATTCTTCTCCTAGATGAAGCAACCAGGTGAGGATATCTTAATAATTTATGTCATTGTATATAGTAAACCAAATTCTTTCTTCACCAAAATGTTTTAATTCTATACCTCAAAGTGGATGCAACTGAAAATGCTTCCCCCCCCCCCGCTCCCCCCCCCCCCCCGACTTTACTTTAAAGTGATGGAACCTGAATAAATAATGAGAGTTGAAAAGCAGTGAGCAGACTGAGTCATAATCGAAGGTTCTAGGTCCACTTCAGACATGGTTGCCATCAATCCTAATCATTCTGTAAGCTGCAACTTTACAGAATGCCTTTCTCCTTATATCACAGTGTAGTTTTCTGGAGATCAAGGAGTCCCAAACAGCTGAAATTTTGATCTTAGTAAAAATTCATTGCTCAGGAAGGGCCACTGTGTATCAGGAAGCACATGAGCCTGGAGTATGGCTGGCACTGACGTCTTTGCTTTCTTATGTGTGTGTTCCTGTGTCAGTGCGCTGGATGCTGAAAATGAGTACCTTGTTCAAGAAGCTCTAGATCGACTGATGGATGGAAGAACAGTGTTAATTATTGCCCATCGTCTCTCCACCATTAAGAATGCTAATATGGTTGCTGTTCTTGACCAAGGAAAAATTACTGAATATGGAAAACATGAAGAACTGCTTTCAAAACCGAATGGGATATACAGAAAACTAATGAACAAACAAAGTTTTATATCAGCATAAAGAAGCAATTATTGGTAAACAATATGAAAGACTTTAATACAAAATAGTGATGCAGGAAAAAAAACCCGAGAGACTATATGAAATATGTAAACTATGTATCAAGTTATTTGAAAAATACTTATTTTTTCCAAAGTATGTAAAATATTATTTGAAATGTACCTGTTCTCAAGATCTTTTTATTCAGAGTTTTAATAATTGCAACTTTTTAAATGTCTATAGCACTGAAGTTATTTTCAGGTTTTGTATTTTCCTTTATTGTGAAATATTTTAATGAATATAGCATGGCACCTCATTTTCTTTTCCGTGCTGTTAAAGATTGAAGTTATTGTCAAATGACAACTTTTAAAAGGGAATTATAAATAAAAAGCCTGATTATTTTAGGCCAGTTTACCAATCACTGTGTAATTCTTTTGGTAGTATTCCACCTGCGTTGTCTAATTTTACTAAGTAAAGTAATGGAAAATGAAAATTTAACCCTTTATTTTATTCTGATAATCTCATGAAGCAAACCTGGTTAACTAGTAAGTCAGCTGGAAAGAAGGGAATATTTATGTTGCCCATCTCCTGTGTCTTCAAAGGTGTGAGAGTTGAGGAATATGTGTTCCTATGGGAACTATGTTTGAGTATGTGCAGTTTTCAACATTTTGGCACATGAAAGCCTGACATGTTTTTAAAAGGGTAGAAGCTGCATCTTTTAAACAGAAAAACCTGTTTTTTTTAATTCACATGTTTGTATGAGTACTTTTGGGAAGCAAGGCATTAACTGTTAGGTATTAAGAATGAATGAATTTTGCATTTAAGTTGTTTGAAGGCATGTATTTTGAAAAACATCTGTTACAAATTTATAATTCCAAGATAAATTGAATCTTAGTTTTTTATAATACTTTTAGAATTTCATTAATAAGGCTAAAATCTGGCCGGGCGCGGTGGCTCAAGCCTGTAATCCCAGCACTTTGGGAGGCCGAGGCGGGTGGATCATGAGGTCGAGAGATCGAGACCATCCTGGTCAACATGGTGAAACCCCATCTCTACTAAAAATACAAAAAATCAGCTGGGCATAGTGGCTCATGCCTGTAATCCCAGCTACTCAGGAGGCTGAGGCAGGAGAATTGCCTGAACCCAGGAGGTGGAGGTTGCGGTGAGCCGAGATCGCGCCATTGCACTCCAGCCTGGGTAACGAGCGAAACTCTGTCTCAAAAAAAAAAAAAAAAAAAAAAAGGCTAAAATCTGAGGACTATAACTAACATTTAGCCTTAAGACATTTAAGTTTGGAAGTTCTTACTATTTAACAGAATAACAAAAAACCTTCAGAATGTATCACCCTCCTGAAAAGAAGACATTAATAAGCCCTTTTATTTATGGTTATAATTTTATTTAGTCTCAAAATTCCTAAAGCAACGCTGACAACCATTGAATTTGCTATATTTTGTTATCAGTGCTATTATTTGCTGTTGCCTTTAGAAAAAGTGCTTTTTCTCCACTGATGAGGCTAGACTCCAAGAAGTAATTATGTCAGTGTAAATAAAATGGAAGTATTTCCATGAACTAAGCATTTATTAGTTCCCTGATTAGACTGGAAGACGAAACCACTATTTCATGAAAAACATGGAATATTATATTTCATTCTTCATAATTTATTAATGAATAAAATTGATATGAATGAATGTAGTGTTCTTTGAATTAGTAAATAGTATGCCATACCTGTGACAATCATTTTAACAAGTTCTACTTGTGTTCTTTATAAACCGTGATTTTTAGAAAGCAAAAAAAACATAATTACAAGGTTGAATCTGAGAAAAATAATCCTTGTACCATAGAAGTATTTACAAAATTGCATTTCATTGTTATGTTTTATTTTCTGATACATGATGTTCAATTATATCTTTAGGTAATATTTTATATCATAGATTAAAATTTATAGTGAACTTTATCTGTCTGTCACTTTTTTTAATGACCTAGGAAGCAAAGCAGCAGTCTGTCACTTCTTATAAAACTTCTTACTGCATTGCTGCTTACTAGAATTTGGCTGTGGAGATTCAGGAATAAAGAAAAGACTAACATTACACAAATAGAAACACATGGTGTAATTAAAAGTCCCATTGATTCCTCCTGATCAAAATTTGTTAATGTCATCACTTGTTTCCTATTTAAAAACATTCTGTTTAGCTGGGCACGGTGGCTCAAGCCTGTAATCCCAGCACTTTGGGAGGCCGAGGCGGGTGGATCACGAGGTCAAGAGATCGAGACCATCCTGGTCAACATGGTGAAACCCCGTCTCTACTAAAATACTAAAAATTAGCTGGGCATGGTGGCGTGTGCCTGTAATCCCAGCTACTCAGGAGGCTGAGGCAGGAGAATTGCCTGAACCCAGGAGGCAGAGGTTGCGGTGAGCCGAGATCGCACCATTGCACTCCAGCCTGGGCAACAAGAGCGAAAACTCCGTCTCAAAAAATAAAAAATAAAAATAAAAATAAAAATAAAAACATTCTGTTTAGTTGTTTCAGTGCAGTAAATAAGTATCTTCTACCCCCAGCAGGGACAAGGAACTGTGCTGTGGAGTTGATGATAGATGAGTAAGGCACAGTTTCTGCCCTCAAAGGACTCTAGTTTTGAAGGAGCTGTAAGGCAGGGAAAAATTAATAACAAGAATGCAGCTAAACATCATATAGAGGTGTATGTTCTGGTTATCACTGTTTTGTTTCCAGAGTGTTTGCATGTTACATTTGATACTTCTACAAGCCTGTAATTTAGACAAATATTTATCATCCCCATTTCAGAGAGGAGGAAATAAGCACAGGCAAGTTGTGAATTAATTCAGCATTAATGACATACTCAATTTCAGGCAGGAAGTGGTGAAACAAGATATTAGTGAGATAGGCAGGGGCCAGCTCAAAAATCTTACCTTTTGTCCTATGTGCATGGAGAGCCTTTGAAGGGAAATGTATCTTCATGTAAACAATTTAGAAAATAAGCAAAAAGAAAATTTAAATGACCTGAAATCCTACATGTGAAGACAAAATTTCACATTGTTGAGCTCAGCATTTTGTTATACACCCTCTCAGGCTTGTCTCTATGTCCAAGGTCTCCCCTGACCCGGGGCCTGACAGGTTCCCAAAGAATAATCACAGGTTAAACCACTGTAAGTGAAACCCTTGTAAGTGCACTCTTATAAAAGTACGGCTCCATTTTAGGAATCCATCTTTTTTTTTTTTTTTTTTTTTTTGTTGTTGAGATGTAGTCTCATGTCACCCAGGTTGGAGTGCAGTGGCACGATCCTGACCACTGCAACCTCTGCCTCCTGGGTTCAAGTGATTCTCTTGCTTCAGCTTCCCGAGTAGCTGGGACCACACATGTGCACCACCATGCCTGGCTACTTTTTGAATTTCTAGTTGAGAAGGTTTCACTGTGTTGGCCAGGTTGGTCTCGAACTCCTGAGCTCGAGCAATCCTTTCACCTCAGCCTCCCAAAGTGCTGGGATTACAGGAGTAAGCCACCGCACCTGACCTGGTTTTTGTTTATTTTTGGTAAGCTTTGGCAGTTTTATAAAATAAGATGAATTCCTGGCCAGAGTTGTGGCTCATGCCTGTAATCCCAGCTACTCGGGAGGCTGAGGCAGTAGAATCACTTGAACCTGGGAAGCAGAGGTTGCAGTGAGCCGACATCGCACCACTGCACTCCAGTCTGGGTGACGGAGTGAGACTCCCATCTCAAAAAAAAAGTAAGTGAAAACCAGTATAAATGTTACAAAACATATATAGATGAAAGAATTATGTGAAAACCACATTGTGAATGTTCCTTTGGAGTATATTCTGAGGCATCATGGGGTTTTCCTGGTAATCTCTGTCCACTGAATTCATTCAATAAACATTTACTGAGCATCTTCGATTGTGCCTAGGACCTGTGCTAGGTGCAGGCTCTGCCTCCCTCACAAAGCTAGTGCAAGGGTCAGCAAACAGCTGTTTTTGTATACCCTGCAGGCTACAGATAGTTGTTACACTTTTAAATTGTTGGAAAAATCCAAAGAATATCTCATGACACATTAAAAATACAAGAAATTCAAATTTCAGTGTCCATAAACAGCCTCCTTGTTCCTGCAGGAATTGTCTACGGCTGCTTTCACCTTATGGCCACAAGGGGGAGGAGTTGTGACAGAGACTACACGGCCTACAAGCTGAGATACCTGACAGAAACTTCGCTGATGCCAAAGACAGTGGAAAATTCTGCACTACTTGAAGGACTTCTAAACTACACTGAGATTTAGAGCCATCTCAAAAAGTTTCATTGACAGATAAGGATTAGATGAGTGCCCTGAAAATGACTGGGTGTGGGTAATTTCCATGAGTTTTTCATGGTTCCTGTGCCTCTCTGTTCCAACACATTCATTACCATGCTGTGGGAATTGGAGCCTAATCATTCCACCACATCTGCAGGGAATCATTCTGGCTGCTTTCCTATTGTTGATTGCAGTTGTTGGTCCCACATAAATCAAAGTTTGATCTTAACTGCAAAGGTAATACTTTGGGAAGGATGTACAGAGGGGAGGCACATCTCGAAGCGGAACTGCAAGTTGGCTGGGCACCTCACACATACAGGAACAACAATTCCTGCAGGAACAAGGAGGCTGTTTATGGACACTGAAATTTGAATTTCTTGTATTTTTAATGTGTCACGAGATATTCTCTGGATTTTTCCAACAAATTAAAGCTAAAAACTATCTGTAGCCTGCAGGCTATACAAAAACAGCCATTTGCTGACCCTTGCACTAGCTTTGTGAGGTAGGCAGAGTCTGCACCTAGCACAGGACCTAGCACAATCGAAGGTGCTCAGTAAATGTTTATTAAATGAATTTAGTGGACAGTCTACATTGGGGAGGTATTCTTTTATTTATGTTAATAAAATTTAAATGTGTTTGTATTTCACGTAGGGGAAAAGAAATATCTTTTCTTCCCATCTTAGGTTCATGGCTAAGGCCCCTATAACAAAAAGAAGATTCACAAGAGAAAAGCTTGCAAATTTATTTAAAAGTTTAAGGTGACCCAGAAGTCTCTGAAAGAAATGAAGACCCAAAGAAACAGGGAAACTTGTGCATTTTTATGCCTAGGTTTGATGAGTGCACAACTTGCAGAAAGGTGAGCGGACAAAGGTCTGATCTAATGGTAATAACTGAGAGAACCTGGTAAAGCCTGTTTGTTCAGACTCTTCTCTGTGGCCCTGTGTTTTCCGAGATAAGGATGTTTCTTTCCTCCAGGTATGAGGAAGGCATCTCTCAATGCGGGTCTGATGACCTGCTTCAGGGGAGAAGGGTGGAAGACGGTCAGAGAGTGATCTTCCTGCTTCTACTGTGTTCTCAAGTGCCCAGGTGCCACATTTTGGGGAAGCA